CTGAAAAATTACTGAAATTTTCAGTACTGAAAAATGACTGAAATTTTCAGTACTGTAAACAACTTTTTCTCAACATTACTAAAAATGATATATAAATTAATGTACTGAAAATGTATGGGTAAGAAATGTACTGATTAGTTATGTTTCCTAAAAGTACTGTTTATATAGCGGCATTTAATGTACTGATTAGTGATGTTTCCTAAAAGTACTGTTTATATAGCGGCATTTAATGTACTGATTAGTGATGTTTCCTAAAAGTACTGTTCATATATCGGCATTTAATGTACTGATTAGTGATGTTTCCTAAAAGTACTGTTAATACAGTGGCATTTAATGTACTGATTTTTTATGTTTCCTGAAAGTACTGTTTATATAACGGCATTTAATGTACTGATTAGTTATGTTTCCTAAAAGTACTGTTTATATAGCGGCATTTAATGTACATGTAAACGTTAGGCAAATTGTTGGTAGTGTAAGTGCTGGGAAATTAAACCTGAAGGTTAAAAACGCGATATCATAAATACTTGACAGAGATATAAAAAGTTATGTACGAACATATAGAGTAACTCTTTGTTCAATTGTCTCTCTAAATAGACAAGCACATTACATAAATAAAGCACCCCTTTTTCTGAAGATAGTTTTAGAAATAAATACCTATATTTCTATTGGAGCTAGATAATGGATTTTTCAATGTGTTATATTCCAAAAGTCGGGAATGGTTATTTCGCTAAGAATTACTCATAAACTGAGTTCAAACCATGCTAACAATTTAGGCAGAGCACAACTAAGACAAATTTAATAACAAATATGTTACAGCTAAAATACTTGAAAACACTATAAAACTATTTTTCTCTGAATTTCCGGTGTCCAAGTAGATGAATAAGCTATTATAATTCAATCGGAGTGTGGAGATAAAACAGTATAGTTCTGAAAAAACTTGTAATATGTAGAAATTTCGTTTTATAAATATATAAGGATATAGACCATTGCACCCTGATATCAAATATATGGACATACAACACTATAAGACTCACACGACGAACTGTTATTAGTTCAATAACTTTCGCACGATGAACCATAAATTTTCAAAATATAAAGCAAATCTATATTCTCATATACCAACAACATAGTAAAGTGTGTAGTAAATTGACCAAAGCATACCTGATCGTCAAAGTGGACGATAACTGTGGATCTCTGGAATGACGCAACCAAAGAATTTGAAAATCAAAACAAAGCTTTTTTCTTATTTTGACGGTGATGTTGTTTATTTAGATACGATCCGGGTAAACTTATCAAACCTTTAAATCAACTTATTCGAAAAGGTAATCAATTCTGTAATTAGATCTTTGAATATTGTTTTATTAATATAACAATTAATTTGTTATCGGCAAATTAAAACCATACTAAATATTATTTTTATTCACATATGTACATTCAGTGTTCTACAGTCTGTGATTACCTATATTTTGGCATTGCATAAGGTCATGTTTATCTCTTACTGTTAATGATGTCTTTACACTAAATCCATTGGATGTTGGATGTGTTCTGATTGATATTTTAGTGATATATACAAGATTTTTTGTTTGTTGTTATTTATTGGCTTTGAACTAGCTGTCAGTAACTGCGAGAGCTCTCAGAGCTGTACTTTGTGTCTTTTTTGTTGTGGGGGGATGTATAAATTCCCTGCAACGTCCAGTCCTTGTTTTTGCTAGATGTTTTTCTGCTTTGTATCAATCAGAGTTAAGTCCTTTTCAACTGATTTTTATATTATGTTCTTATGTTGTACTGTTACACCACTGTCCTAGGTTATGGGAGGGTTGGCGCCTTCAAACATGTTTAACCCGCCACATTCTCTATGTACCTGTCCCAAGTCAGGAGCCTGTAGTTGAGTGGTAGTGGTTGGTTCATGTCTGTCATATTTGTTTTTTTCGTAAAATGTTTTGTTTTAAAATAGGCCGTAAGTTTTCTCAATGGGATTGTTTCACATTTTTCATGTCGGGGACTTTTATAGCCAACTAAACGGTATGGGGTTTTTCATATTGTTGAAGGCTGTACGGTTGCCTATAATTGGTAACATCCACTTCATTTGAACTTTGGTGGATAGTTGTGTCATTGGCAATTATACCTCTTATCCTTTTTTTTATATTCTATCAATCCTAATGTTCCGTTTAGTTTTGTGGGAATTGGTTAAAGCAAAAATTTATAGGAAATATTCATGGATGAACTACAATATACAATAATACATCCCATCTAAGACGGGCTTATGATACCACACTTATGAGTATATACACAAAGGAAATAACTAACACTTTTCCCATACTTAAACAACCACAAAAACCACATTTTAATTCAAAGTATGATACATCAAAGCACTCCAAAGCTTTAAAGAACGCTAAATCTTGTGTGTATTCTATCTTGGACTATTTGGGATCTATTCGTCTCTATTCTGTTGGTCGTGGCGTGTTTTTTTTTTCTTTCTTTCTTTCTTGTTTACTTATATTGTTTTGTTGCCTTTTGGTATCTTTCTTTCCTTTTCAAACATTTCAAAAACATATAAAATGTGATAGTAATGCAATTTTTTGTTATTTGCAATTATAATGATATTTAATATTTATATTTGATAGAAGTGCTGTATGGAAGTGTGTTTTACAACTTATGTCATTGTATTATTAATATTAAACCCTTTTATAAAATATAATAACATGAACAAAAAGATTTTATCTACATGGTATCTTTTGTAAGATTCTTTTTAACTACAAGGTAATATACTTAATAATTCAAATCACTAAATATCATCCATAATTTTTGTCAAGAAAAAAGTCACTACATGCTCATATTTTAATGTTCGACGGTTAACAATTTAGATGAGGAACAAAGGTAAATGTATTTCATCTTCCTTCTTCATTAATCTTACCGATTATAATAGAAAAACAATAGAAGTTATAAAAAAAAACTATTTACAGTATTGAAAGAATAAAATCACCAACAGGAAATAGTTCCGAACTTCTATAGAAACAAGTACATATAGGAGTGATCATATTACCTTAAAGAAATAGTAAATGATTCATAATTATCAGATATAATGTGCAATGTACATGTATATTCGCACATATTTTCGTTTATGTGGCGACCGTAGTAAGTTTCCCCTTAGTAATGTGTATTATCTAAAATATGTTAACATTACAGTTGTTGCGCACTTATTTATGATACAAATATTTCATTTTTTTTTTTCTTTATCGTGAGTGTTTAATTTGTAGTTTTGTTATATTTTACCGTAAGATTGTCGGCAAATACAGTTTGTAAATTAGAAAGTATTTGTAAGATTTCTCTGTCCTAACAGTGTTTATCTGTATTTACACCAAGATGTCTTTAAATGAAATTGGATACCCTGCATTTATCATGCTTTTCAATATCATATGATCAAATCGCTGCAAGATCCCCCTCCTAAATTATTGAGAACTATCACTCTGCATTGACAATAATAATATCTTGGTGTAAATTAAATACACAAATTCGGGATAACGCCCTCAATGTGTATCTTATACGTACATAGAAGTGTTATTTAGCAGCAAAAAATATTTTGGAAATTAAACGGGAAAAAGACAAGATAGTACAGCGATTCATATTGCCATACAAAAGTAGTGATAAGGTATCAATTTGATGACAGAAAAATAGACGCAATTAGGATTTGATTATAAATCCATAACTACAAAACATCTTCTGAAAAAGTTACTGCATCTGGAGAATTTGACACTTTTCCTGTTTTATCAAAACTAATTGCTCCTTTTAGAAAAAAGAGAAAAGATAAAACATTTATTTTTACTTCTATGTAAATAAGATGTAATCGTTTCATATCTTCGGGGCTGACCCCCTCAAATATGAGAAATACATGTATATACGTATATATAATAATACAAGCACTGTTCATAAGCTTTTGTTTATTAGAAGCGTTTATAGGCTTTGAATGGTATGTTGATACATGTACACCATTATATTTTCTCAATGAAACGAAAAAGAAAACAAATATTGGTGTATGTCAATAGTACAGCAGTCAGAACATTCATCAAAAAAACACTAATGAAACCTAGAAGTCATTAATATTAACGAGCCTCAACAAAAGATAAAAATAAGTAAGGAGATACCAAATGGGACATTTAAAATTATAATTTTAAGAGAGGCACACATTAACATGACAAAAAAAGACCAATAGAAAAAAACATTAATTACCAAAACACTACACATGAAACTGAAGATTAAACAACAAGTTTTCCCCATTAAACGATACCAATTTTACTGATTGACTAGATGCACATTTTGACACGACAGATGGTCTTTCTTCGGTGCACTTGAGGACAGAATATTTTGAAATAAAAAATCTAGACAAACCAAGGCACTTTATCAGGACTATGAATGAAGTAGATATACTTTAAATGTTCAAACGATTTCATTATTCTAACACTGCAATTTACCAAAAAATAAAACAAAACAAAACACAATATTGGCATTTCAACTTCAATGTTTCCCAAGTAGCTAAAACTTTAGTGAAAACAAAACATCAAAGAAACATGGCTTATAATTGTGTACGCCAGACGCGCGTTTCGTCTACAAAATACTCATCTGTGAGATCCGAATGAAAAATGTTAAATGGCCAATAAAGAACGAAGCTGAAAGGCACTGCCGACCAAAAATTTCGAAAGGTTTTACTAAGGTAGTTTTTCCTGGGATAGAAAATCCTAAGTTTTATCAACAGTTAATTATAAATATGACATATGAATACATGTTCAGAGACTACCAATGATCTACTGTCCACGTTATAATGGTTTTTGACTTGGTTGTAGGTTGATCGACAAATGCATCATAAGTAAAATATAAAACCTTGTCATTCGTATGATGACATGTCTAAACTTTACAAAGACGTACGTGTTATATTCAGAATCACACATCAGCGAATGAAGTTTGATATTCTATAAATATTTATGACATATATACATGCTACTTACATATGACCTACAATAAGTTTCTTGGCACTGGGATCAAGTTTTAAGTACCTATAATAAGACAGCGACGATGATTCAAGTAATGCTGAAATACAAGAAAACCTCTTTCTCAACCTTGTTATAAAATGCATATGGTGATTCTAAATATACTGCTTGCATGCGTGAGAAAAAAAAAACAATCGACAATTAACATTCATTGTGTTTTTACCCCAAAGATAAACCCACTCTTTCAGAGAAAATTGATCTTAAATTGCTTTGGCTATTCTATGTAGGTCCCTTTTAGTCATATATAACTCTTCACGTATTTTGTTACGTATGCACCTTTGGATTTCAAATTTTTGGCTCCTGGACGTTCCTGATGAATGTGAAACCAGAAATACGCTTCGGGCGCATCAAATTTATAAAACGTTATTTTCATTATAAAATTTATGATTTAATTTAAGTATTAGATATCCGCGAAATCGTCTACAGATGAATTTGACTAATATATCTATCGTCATAAAACCACTCATGTGGTATGTATGTAAACCTCAGATCTGTGTACGGCCTCAAATCTGTGTCCGTTTCTCAAATCTGTGTCCGTTTCTCAAATCTGTGCCCCATCGTGACGTCAATCGTTAATCTATGTCCGTTAAAAAAGGATACGGCCTCAAATCTGTGTCCTTTTTTCAAATTTGTTTTCAATCGTGACGTCATTCGCAAATCTATGTCCGTTAACAAATATACGGCCTCAAATCTGTGTCCTTTTCTTAAATCTTTTCCAGTTTGTTTCGCCATGCGCAAATCTATGCCCGTCTAATATGCCCGTCTAGTTGGGATGTGTTCCCCATGTGTGTGCTTAAATTTTTTACATGTGTGTGTAATTATTGTATGATTTACATTTGATTGTAAAACTACAACTACAACATTTTCAAATTGCACAGTTTGCTTTTCTTGATCCCGTGTTAATTGTTCTGTAATAATTATCACGTGTGTGTATGTGTTTTTTTGTTTTTTTTGGTGGGGGGGGGGGGGGGAGGGATTATCAGCTTTTAACTTGATTCGCGTCTAATTAATAAAACATTAAGGTACGTGTATTATATAATGTGTAGTTTAGTAAAAATTAATAAGACAAGATGAATATCATTTATTTAAAAAACGTAATTGGTGACTTTTTTTATAAATTTTTATCTTTCTTTTTTTTTAAATTCTATTCATTTTTATAGTCACCTGTTCATCATAAGTTGTTGCAAAGTTAGGTCTTTTAGTGTAAAGCTGATAAGGTGTGGAAGGCTTTGTACTTTTGTGTACCCTGTTGTACAATTCAGACAATTTTGAAGGCCAGTCAGTCTTTTTCTAATGACATCTCTTTTCTAAAATATTCTGTTAGTGTTCTATTGAAGCGTTCTATGCGTCCTTGGCTATGTGGATGATAGGGACTCCCGTCCATGTAACTTCCTTACGTCACCACATTTCGATGAAGGGCATAGATTTGAAACAAAAATGGCCATACCATAGATTTGAAATAATAAAGGACATAGATTTGAGACAATACAGGACATAGATTTGAGACAATAAAAGACATAGATTTGAGACAATAAAGGACATAAATTTGGAACGTCTATGACGCAAAATTTAAAAAGGACATAGATTTGCGGAAAGGCCATAGATTTGAGGCTGGACATAGATTTGAGGCTTACATGTATATATAGTAATAAGTAATGTTAAAAAAATGCAAGTGAAATATTTTCGTTTATTTCAAATACTTTAAACCGTTGACATGGACTCAATTTTATAAGTTACTGACGTCTCTTGTTGATTATTCTTCCGAAGTCTCTACTTATTACTAATAAACATATGTGCTATATACCATACATTGCTCATTGTTATACTTATAATTGATGTTTGTAAAGAGAAGGGACTTAAATCAGTGTAAAGTACAACATATTTTCCACGAAAGAAGTGGTGGATTGCTGCTTTGACTTACACCTTTGAAGTACTTTGATAACTAAATAAGTATAATTACCAGGTAATGATAAGTTAAACGAGTGTGTGTTCGTCGTTCCATTGTTAAGTACTGAACAGTTGTATTCTCCTTCATCACTGTATTGTAAATTAACAATTTTCAAATCAAATCTGCCAATACTGCTGTTACTTATGATGAATAAACGATTATACAAGTCACTAGGTAAATAAGTATTCCGATGATTTGAATGTGAATAGACTGTCTGACCATTATAAGGTCCTTTCCACACAACTTTGCTGCTACCTTCTTGAATATACGGACATTTAAAAGTAGCTGTAGAACCAATGAACTCGTGAACTGTATTAGTATAAACGCTATCTGAAAAAGAAAACTCTCGGTTACTGAAAGTTTGTTCAAAGCCAATTTTTCACTGACAGATAAACTATGTTTTCCAAAACTAAAATATCAAACAATACTTCAACAGATTTAGTATAACAACGTCATAAGTATGCGAAACTTACTATTAAAAGACAATCAGTGTTAGTAATAACAAACAACATCTAAAGATATTACAACATTGTTACATTCATAACCTTTATGAAAATAAGTTTATTCAAAGGACCAGTAAATTTTAACGGATCGTATCTGAATTATAAACGAGCTCTATAAAACATATCTCTAGTGTAAAAAAAAGGATGTGACATTACATTTGCAATACGGTTTTCTAAGGTACAGCACAACTCCCTAACCAAATGTTTGTTTCTATGAAAGAATTTATCAAAACATTTAAGTAATTTAAGTTAACGAAACTTTTACAAATATGTTCATTTAAATTCAAACAGTCTCTACACTGGCTTGACGGACGATTAGGGAAACATACACACTATTTGACGTGACCAAAGAAACATCATCGTCAAAAAGAAGTGCCCTGCAGTATACCATATTAAGAAAAATCTTGATTATTTAAAGCAGGCCTGGTCAGATCCTGGAAATTTTGTTCATTTGTGAACGACTCGGGCAAGCCTGGTCAGATACTACAAATCTTGCTAGCTTGTTTATAACTTGAAAACCCTTGGTTAAAATCAAGAAATCGTGCCTGCTAATATTTGGGTCAAACAAGCCAATGTTGTAATTAGATCTTTGAATATAGTTTACATTGACACTAATATCGATTTTGTCATCAGCAAATTAATACATAACTAAATTTGTATTCTTTTCAAACGGGATGTATAAAGACACACCCACGTTCATTTTGATCTATAAAGAGGTTAACTCCTAACTATCCTACTGCCTGTCGATACATTTATTTTTGCCATTGCACAATTCATGTCTTCTTTGACTGTTCATGACGTTAAAATACTAAATCCCTAGGATGTGTTTTAGTTGATTTTAGTCTCTGATGCATGATTTTTTATTATCAATTGTTTTTGGCTTTTAACTAGCTGTCAGTAAGTGCGAGTACTCTCAAATCGTACTTTCTTGTTTAGTTGACCTGTTGATACTAATTGTAATGCTTTTTTGTTATTTGATGTTATTCAGGGTTATATCTGTTCTATATACCAGCTTTGATAAGTGTTTGGTATTACTATAAGTTTTCACTTCTTCGTACTATGAACATCAAAATTATTTATTTTGTAAAAATATTTCCTTTCTCCATTTGAACTGTACACGTATACCTAACAACAAAATTATGTTCATTTACCAGTGTTTAAAGTAATTGCAAATGGCTGATATTTTTGTTCAAGCATATTGTTTTTCTTAAATTGTTTAACATTTCACAGCGGTATTACATGTTACTTTAATTATTCTTCCCTTAGTTTATTTATTTTGTATTTACATTGCATCATAGATCAAACTTATTTGTTCAGTGTATGTTCACTGGTGTAAATATGTCTTTTGATTGAGTTTAGCCATTTCAATTGATATTTTATAGTGTCTATGTTGTGATGTAACATTATTGTTTCAGATAAATGTGAAGGTTTGGTACCATTAAAACGTTTAAACCCGCTGCAATTGTTTGCACTTGTCCTAAGTCAGGAATCTGATGTTCAGTGGTTGTCGTTTGTTGATGTGGTTCATAAGTGTTTCTCGTTTCTTGTTTTTTTATATAGATTAGACCGTTGGTTTTCATGTTTGAATGGTTTTACACTAGTAATTTTTGGGGCCCTTTATAGCTTGCTGTTCGGTGTGAGCCAAGGCTCCGTGTTGAAGACCGTACTTTGACCTATAATGGTTTACCTTTATAAATTTTGACTTGGATGGAGAGTTGTCTCATTGGCACTCATACCACATCTTCTTGTATCTATGGTCAGATATTGTAAATATTGGCTTCTTATATCGGACTCGGACAAGCCTGGTCATATAAGGAAATGTTTGTCTGCATGTATCGGTCTAGAATCAGGTACTGAATATTTTGTCTGTTTGTATCTACTTCAGAAAAGCTTGATCAGATACTGAAAATCTTTATCTGACTCAGGCAAACCAAATATATGGTTTCGTGTTGCTTTTGCTTTAGTTTTGAGTTTTTATTATGTTCTATGTTATCGATCTTATTTATTTCGGTGCTGCTTCTAACGATAACAGTCTTGTTTGTCCTTTGTCCTGAAAAAAAGTGTTTCACTTTAACCTTTTACATTCGTTAAAAGTTAGTTTCACGTTTGGTTGTACATAAAAACAAGAATACGCTGAAAACTAGAAAACAACATGACAAATTACAAAAACTAATGCTTTTTCAAGTTATACAAGTTTGTTGAAAGACCACCAAAGTATGATAGTGTCAAACTGTATATATCATGCATTTATTCTCTTCTACAGTTAAGTTTGAACAAATAATTATGTTTACAGAACAAAGAAAAATAAAAGTAATTTCTTTCAAAGATACAACAAATACCCATGACATCGAAGAAATTGGTGAGTCTTTCAAATATGTTTATAATTCAATTTCGTTGGGACAGGCGCAAAAATGCGGAGGGATTAAACATGTTTTGTGAGATCTCAACCCTCCCCTATACTTCTAGCCAATGTAGAAAAAACAAACACACAGCAATACGCACAGTAAAACCTGTGATATTAACAAAATATAAATATAACACTTCTACCTTTAAAGATCTTTATATTATCAGGCATTTGAATATTATCTGTTTTTACAAAATAAGACATATTCGAACTTATTTCTAATAAAATTGAGAATGGAAATGGGGAATGTGTCAAAGAGACAACAACCCGACCAAAGAGCATATATAAAGTATATATAATAAGTTTGTTACCGAAATTTTCTAGCACTCTAGGCACATCACGATTTTCTAGCATAGGAATTTGCGAACAAATATTTGTAAAATTATGTAGTAAAACAGATGAAATCATACTACATTTATACAACAAAAATTGACAAATAGAATGTAATCATTTTTGTTTCAAACATGTGAAGTAGCCAATAATACATCAAACAAAATGGCTGCCAACGGGGGACTTAACAAAGGACCATATGGGAAATATATACAAATGTCTTTTTCTAGAAAACCGTTTAATTGAGTGAAACCAAACATGGTATGAATGTTTCTTTTGAGGTGCTGACCAAGTGTTGTTACTTTGTAGCTGATTTTTCATTGTCCTTATAAAGTCATTTTCTACAATTTCAATGAGCCTGTAATTGAGTGGTGGTTGTTGTTTTTTGCTGTTTATCATATTTGTTTTTCGTTTATTGTTTTGTATAGTGTGTTCTTGTGTTGTGCTGTTGCACCACTGTCCTAGGTTAGGAGGAGGGCTTGGCGCCATCTAACTAGTTTAACCCCGCCACATTCTGTGTGCCTGTCCCAAGTCAGGAGCCTGCAATTCAGTGGTTGTCGTTTGTTGCTGTATATCATATTTGTTTTTCTTTCATTATTTTGTGCATAAATCAGGCCGTTAGTTTTCTCGTTTGAATTGTTTTATGCTGTATGTATTTTCGTCTTTCCTCGGCACTTGTATATAGAGTATACATCTTTTTAGTTAATACGACATAAGTGTTTGCGTTTTCTGCCATTATTTAGTTTAATAAGTATGTGTGGATATTGCTTTTTGCAACAGGACGTGTGCTACTAATGGAGCCAGATTTGCTTGTCATACTTAGTTCATCCAATGTTTTTTTAGTAAAGTTCGTGTTGTTTTTACTTTAGTTTTCTGTGTTACTTGTACAATTTTACTTTTTACGGTTGTTTATATCGGTTTTAGTTAGCTTTTATCTATCAAATATCCTGAAAACCATTACTTATATAATTAGTATAATCGTACTTTTATTAAAAACTTCCTAGTTGCATCTTTCGATCTTTCATAGACGAAATTGACCTTATATAGTGTTGCCTGATTTATAAACTTACTTGAACCAATTTTATTCGCGTCATTTTAATTGCGTCCGTGTTTCATCGTCCATTATCTTTTACACTAAAAAAAAAGTCTTACTCTTCTGAAACTACTGGGCCAATTGGAAACAAACTTGGACCTATTCGTCTTTTTGGGTATTTAGTCTAATGTGTCCTTTGATCATGCTTGCCAACCAATATGGCCACCAAAGCAAAAACAAAACAAACCGGTAGAGATAGTGAAAATCCAACGGGTTGAAATGTTCAGAATATCAAGATTTATCTACTGTCTATCAATACCAAAATTGTCATACGACTCCTTATAACCGTTGTCACCTTTTATAATGACGATTTTTGTTGGTCACTTTTAAGCTTTTGGCTTTTGTCCTGAAAGCTATTACACATTCACAGAAATTGTTAAGAAAATGCTTTAAAATTAGACAACATTGTCGAAATTGTCAGTCGTTCCTTGTGTGAATTATTGCCCTTGAATGACAATTTTTACCCATTTTTGAGTATTTTCATAAAATTTAAGTGTAGATAATCAGAATCTTTAAGTAGTAAAATGATCAGCAAGACAATATCTACTAATCAGTCAAAAAGACTCTTTACATGAGTTGTTGCCCTTGCATGATGATTTTAGCACATTCTCTGTTTTTGGCGGAAACAAAAGTAGATAGAGAGCAAGTTTTTGTAGCAAAGATGATCAGCAAATTTAAATCTACAGATAAGTCGAAGAGCCGAAAAGTCACTTAATTTTTTTAGTTGTCCTTGAATATATATTTCTGATCATTTAAAATTTGTTTCCGAAAGCATTAGTAGATGGAGAGACTTAAAACGACAAAAAGATCACCAATATAATATATACAAATGGTCTAATGAATGAAATTTCAATCGACTCCTTAAAGGAGTTGTTGTCTCTAAAAAATAGTGTTAACTCATTTTTCGATTTTTCTTTTCATAATAGAAAGAGAGACTCTCCAGCAAAAGTTTCAGCAAGAAAAGGTTTTGGCAGACACAGTTTCCATTCTTGTTGCATTGTATTAATTGTATGCCAAGAGAGTTACGTGCTCCTTGGAGCTACTAATTTCAATTTTGGCATTTATATTGAAAACAGTAATAGATAAAAAGAAACTATCAAAAGCAAATGTCCGGCGGCTCCCTTTGGGAGGTATGACCTTTAAATGACTGTTTATAGCAAAAATGATCAGCACAACAAGATGTTCAAATAAATCTTAAACGCCAAAGAGTATAATTGCTCTTGAAAATAACGGTGTTTTTCTTAATTTGTTTTAGTATTGGTCATAATCTTGAAAACTGTTATAGACACTTTAAAAAGCAAATGATCAGTTAGACAAGATCTGCAAATAAGTCAACATGGCCAACATAGCCAAAATCATCAGTCGGCTAGTATGAGTTACATCCTTCAATGACAATTCTACCCATTTTTGCAAGGGTTTTTCTGGAGGTAAAAAGCAATAGGATGATAAATAAGAAAAATGATCAGCAAATAAAATCTATAAATAACTCAAATTTATGAAATTGCCATTTTACTCCTTATAGGGGTAATTGGTATTAAAAGACAGTTGTAAATGATGCTTTATGCCCTATTTTAATCTTGAAAAACATATTAAATAGACTGTTACTAAATTTGAACGGATACAATTATCAGATATACAAATTAGTCAATATGAATAAAATCATCAATTGACTTCTTTTAGTAATTGCTGTAGAATTTCAACCCATTTCTTTCCATTTTTGCTTATTAGCTTCAAAAACATAATAAATAGACAGACACTTGGTGCTGCAAAAATGATTGGCAAGACACGATTTTAGCGTATACAGTTTCAATTCAACACAAATATGTTTGATGTATTGTATTAATTTTATGAAGAAATGTTCGATGAGCGATAGTCTGCTTGGAGCCTCTGGTATAGGCTTAGTTTTTTCGTCGTTTTATATGTTTTGCATTCCAAACTAACTTAAAGAAGGTTATTACAGACACACATGATGAACGCACGGTATTCATACCGATTATCATATGTTTATTCACATCTAGTCATTTGTTATAAGGTTAAATAATTCACATGTACTGTTCATTCGTGTGTTTAGGTCTTAGGGTTTGACAAGACAGCTGTTTCCACTGTTTGTTGGTATGTTGTGAATACACTTAAGGGAGATAAGAGGTTTACGCCAATGTGACAGCAACCCAACCCAGAGGTCTATATAATGTCTAAATAGATATACTATTGTTTATACAGTATTTCAAGTTCCAAATCGTCACGAAACAATGTGATAAAATAACAAAAACGATTGCGTAATAGTTTTAGTAATTTTTAAATGTTGATTTTAAGTCCTTTAATTACTAACAATATAACGCGCCATTTAGTCTACTATATAAAGCCTCTTTCTACAACAGTTAAATATATAAAAACATTGTACATATCAACACATTCAAATCTTTTAAATCCCTTTAATATGCATTACTGTATTTTGATAATTTAAATCGGAGTGAAAAGGAAGTTAAAATAATTATGTTTATCATGTTGGACAAAAGCCAATGTGTTATAACACAAAAAGTCCAAAGAGGTCGGAATAAAATTACAAAATTTGGATATCTAGCCGCATAAATAATTTACCCGTATTTTGCTAACATATATACTTACTAATGTTTATAACGACGAAAAGTATAATCCACATTTTCTCCATTATAAACGGCTTGAACCGGGAAGTAATGTTTGAACAATTAAATAGTCCTATTACCGACAAACTTTTATTTTACAAGATGTAAACGATTTAAAACGAGGGAAGTCATTCTAATTTGCTCAAAAACAAACTTTTCTTCACAGTAAATATTCAAAAACTAAGATTCATCTTTAGAAACGGAAGTATAGTTAAAAATTGCGAAGTATGGTTGTTTTTAGGTGCACAATATGAATCAGTGGTTAAATTTATTTACATTTGTTTTTAGTAAATTATACTTGTATTTTTTTAGCAATCCCCCTCCCATAAAAATACGATAAGCAAGGCCGAAAATCAATACCATTAATGGTACCAATAATTTTGCTTCTGATGCGCATAAATGTCTCTTCAGTGATGCTCGATGCTAAAATATTTGAAATTCCAAAACTTACTAAATAAAGGCAACAGTTGAATACTGCTGTTCAAAAGTCATAAATCGATTGAGAGAAAACAAATCCGGGTAACAAACTAAAACCGAGGGAAACACATCAACTATACGAAGAAAACAACGGAACATCAGAAACACCGAACTGCAACAAAAACAAAAACAAAACCCAACATACATAGAAACGGACTAAAACTAGAGGCTCTAAAGAGCCTGTGTCGCTCACCTGCATCTTCAACAATGGCCACTTTTTTGTAATCAAAGTGCTTGTGAGCACTGAAGGGGTAAAGATTTCTTTCATTTTGCAATTTTGTCAAATTTAGAATAAAACATTGAATAATATTTACTAGGTAGGCAAATTATTAATTTCCTTTGTTCATGATTGTACATTTGTAGTTGAACCTATTTTTATCACATTCATACACCATGCATTACTTATGTAAACTTTATTAACGAAAATTCTTCTTGATAAATATGGTTATTTAAATACACATCATATTTTAACTTGAACATCTAAGTATAACATATCATTTATAAATTACTTGACATTGACTGGATAGGATCTAAAGAACTAGAACTTCACTGCACTATTTTATTTGAACTATGAAAGGTAGTAATAAACCTTGGAAGATTTAGATATCAAGTCAGTACCATAGGGTTTTGATTGCATTTCATGCAATCTTTACCCAAAAAGCATCATTAAAAGGAACACCTCGATTAAGAGTTATCTGACAATTTCAGTCATGTTGAAATATTTGTAAATCTGATCCTGCTGATAATGTTTCCTTTTTAAAGTTTCTATTTTTTTATTATAGTTCGTAACAAATGCAAAAAAAAATGTAAAAAATTATCATTACAGGATAATAACTTCAATAAGGAGTCGACTTACAATTTTGGTCATGTTGACTTATTTGTATTAGGGCAATTATAACTCCAATAAAGAGAACTTCGACCATTAAGGCTTATGTGTAGATCTTGTCTTGCTGATCATTTTTGTTTTTTAAAGTTTCTATCTATGTATTGTAGTTTTTAAGATATTAGTCAAAAACGCAAAAATTTGGTAAAAATCGTCATAAAAGGGCAATAACTCTAATAAGGAGACGTTTGACGATTTGGGTCATGCTGACTTATTTGTAGATCTTGTCTTGCTGGTTATTTTTGCTATAAAAGGTTTCTTCTATCTATTATAATTTTCGAGATAATAGGAAAATAATTTCAAAAATGGTAAAATCCGTCCTTTAAGGGCAATAGCTCCTATAAGAAGTCGTCTAACAGTTTTGACGTAAATGGCCAATGGTTAAAGCTCAACCATCTGAACAGTTTTGCTCTAGTGAGAATTTCTCTATTTATAGTGGTTTTCAAAATAATAGACAAAACTTGATTTTACCCCTATGTTCTATTCTTATCCATGTCGGTCATCTTGGTTGGCGGGCGGAGTCATCGGACACATTTTTTAAACTAGATACCCCAATGATAATTTTGGTTAAGTTTGGTTAAATTTGGCCCAGTGGTTTCAGAGGAGAAGATTTTTGTAAAAGTTAACGGACGACGACGACGACGGGCGACGACGGACGCCAAGTGATGAGAAAAGCTCACTGGGCCTTTCGGCCTGGTGAGCTAAAAATTAAGAGCTTATAGACCAAAAAGGACAAAAAATTCATGTATAGCCAAAGCATGGCAAGGAATAAGAGTGTTGCATCGCCATTGATGGAGACTTATTCCTTAATCTAAAATAATTTCCATCATTTTGTAACAGCAAATTTTATTAACACAATGTATGGTATTAGAATGAAGGAAAATAAATACTTTTTCTCTAAATACATCTTTTTGCGACCTACATATATATGTGTGTGTGCAGTATTTTGAATACAGTTGTGAAGTTTAATCTTAAAATTTTAAAATTTTGGTTCAAACATTTTTTCTTCAGACAACGAAATTAAATGCAGTTCGAGTTTTTTAAACTGTGCAAATTTGGTAACTGGGTAACAAGTTTTAAGAATTTGTGGTTTAACTTTGGCTGCAGTGATTTTTGGTTTAATATTGGCCCCGTACCTTAATCAAAAGCAGAAGACTTTTGTTAAGTTTACATAAATTACCAATAAATTCATTGAAATTGTAGAAAATGACTTTATAAGGACAATGAAAAATCAGCTACAAAGTAACAACACTTGGTCAGCACCTCAAAAGAAACATTCATACCATGTTTGGTTTCACTCAATTAAACGGTTTTCTAGAAAAAGACATTTGTATATATTTCCCATATGGTCCTTTGTTAAGTCCCCCGTTGGCAGCCATTTTGTTTGATGAATTTGCTACAAAGTAACAACACTTGGTCAGCACCTCATACGAAACATTCATGCTATGTTTGGTTTCATTCCATTCAGTGGTTCTCTAAAAGAAGACATTTGTATGTATTGTCCATAGGGTCCTATGTTAAACGAAGTCCCCCGCTGGCGGCCATCTTGGATGATGGATCAGCTACAAAGTAACAACACTTGGTCAGCACCTCATAAGGAACATTCATGCCATGTTTGGTTTCATTCCATTTAGTGGTTCGCTAGAAGAAGTTCAAAATGAAAAAAGTTAACGACGACGACGGACGACGGACGATGAGAAAAGCTCACCTGGACCGAAGGGCCAGGTGAGCTAATAATAGTCTGAAAAAAATAACCCAGTTTGATATTTTATCTTCGGATTGACAATTCTAGATGTCTCCCGGAAATGCGTTTAATGTCTCACTTAAATGAAATTATTATTAATCAAAATATTAGACTAACATAAGTTTAACCTATGCTTGACATTAAGATACACTTTGAGTGGTGGATTATGACTCACAATGGGCATACTACTACGGTCTCTAAAACACCGCAAAGGACAACAAGGGAGTGTAATAAGAGCACAAAGGACATACAATTGTTTTCATAATGGGGGAAAAGTCACTATATGCGAAAAATATATTTATTTCTATTAAATGCGTGCGTTAAATCGGTAAGTTGAAGATTTACAAAAACGAGATCAAAAATCGGTAAGGATATGCATAAAATTACGGCACTTCAAAGATTATCAATTATCGACGATTTTATTATACATATATATTGCAAAATATTGTAAAACATGAACATATAAATAAAGGCTGTACATTAAACAGAAAAAAATAAAGTAAACATTGTTTGTACAATTTTCACAAATAAAAACTATTGAATATAAATGAGGCGAAATTCTTCACAATTAATCATCAGTGTTTAAGAGCATTTTTTAAAAGCAAGAAAACTATTTGGAATAAAAATTTCAAACGTATGCAAAATACACATGTTTTTTTTAATATAGATCACACAAGCGTTGATCAAACACATCGTCTATTCAACCAGATTATATTCTAATACAAGTTTGAACCTCCTTATATTAGTCTATTGAAGTAAAAAAGGAGGGGAAATAAAAAACACTTTATAAGAAAGTTTATAATGAGTGAATTCTTTCATAGAAACATTCAAAGCCATAGATTCATGATGTGACACTCTCGTTACAAGATTCGTTAAGTAAGAAAATTTCAGTTCATACTTTGAATTTGCCCAGAATAAAATTCGATAAAACAAAGTGAATACGGATCATAAAATTCTTCCGACACCACTATTCAAAGACATTTTTTGCGTCTTGTGAAACATTTTCTTCATAGCGATATAAATTTGAAAAAAACATAGTTTTATTGCGTAAGTGAGAAAAAAAAAAATTTTTATCAAAAAAAAATTAAAGCAATATAAAATTGTTTGTTTAACGGCCATTGACAAATATTTCAGACATATTCAGAACGACTTCTAGGTCCAAATAACAAACATATTAGTTGTTTTAACTGACAAGCACAAAAGTAAATTATAATTTTAATTATTTATACAATATTCACAGCGTAAATAGATTCGGGAAGGGGTCAGCTGTAGCCCGCCTCCGGGTGCGGGATTTTCTCGCTGCCTTGAAGACCCAATTGTGGCCTTGGGCTTTTTTCTGCTCTTTGTTCGGATTTTTGTCTCTTTGACATATTCCCCATTTCCATTCTCAATTCTATCATTGACGTATACCCAACATCTTATTTTATTCATAAAATAAAACAAACCTCTTTTTTTTTTCTTTTGTGCTACATTGCGCTCCTTTGTGCACAAAGGAGGCCCTTTCCGGTGTTTTTAGAGACATAAAACGGAAGAAGACTGTTTTACTATTTTCCGACTTATATAATATTTGTGAAGTCGTTGATTAAAACATAAAAGGTTACATTTACATAGTATACAATTCCAAACTTATCAGTTATTACATAGCTTGAAGTTGCTACACATACTTAACACAATACCATACATATTATACTACATACAATTAGTATTTGAAACAAACAGCATTTAGTTTTATTCTTTCAAAAAGAGAATCGTCCAGAACCTTTTACATCTACAAGTAAATTAAGTTTGTAAAGCTTAAAATCGTGATGAAGTTGATTTCGAACATAAATCACCAAATTTATAGTGTATTTGTATTGCGAAATATCAATTTGAAAAATACTTTAAAAACAACAATTGATTTAAAACTACTAAAACTGTATGTACGTTGAAGTTTGAAATCTAAAATCTCCATGATCCTTTGTAAGAGGTATATAATGTTAAACATCGAGGAAACAATCTGAAAAAAGTCAAGAGGTATATTATGTTAAACATCGAGGAAACAATCTGAAAAAAGTCAAGAGGTATATTATGTTAAACATCGAGGAAACAATCTGAAAAAAGTCATTTTAGGAATAAATAATTTTTGAAAATTGATTTTTATTTCAATGTAACCATTCATATAACAAATGACTAATCATGATCGAGAAACTGATTTAAAATTAATATGACAAAAAATACGAATAAGCATTTTTAATAGTGTTTTTATTAAAAGCTTAACCCTATACAGACATAATGAATATAATACGGGTATGTGGTGCATGAATGATTTATTTACATCCATGTGTCCGATATTATACCTCACGATCTTTACAGTGTTAACCATCTATAAACTACTGATGATGCGAATAACAACTACACAAAAGAAACATTCCGATATTTTTTCCTTGTATGCGGTCTATTTGAATGGAATTTCACATTGTATTATTGTTTTGAAGGAAAGAATCGTTCGTATCATATATACGAACAACTATTTCAATTTGTGATCGGAATAAAGTAAAGGTCGACAATCGTTTACCTACTTGATATATACGTCTGGTGTTTCTAATTGGTGACTCTCTCCATCAATGTTGAACCTTAGATTCATTTCACGCTGGCTAGGATCATTGTTTTCCGTGGCTCTCAGACGTACGGATTTTATTCTATTGTAATTCACAAAATGTTTGACCGAATCCAGCTACAAAAAGATAAAATGAAAGAAAACAACAAAAAAGTGGGAAACGACGGCAAACATTTATTTTTGGAAAATATAAGTAATGATAATAAAAAATCGAATAGCATAACCATACAAAATGTGAACACTGACAAAACATTTATTTTCTATATAAACAAAAAAGGATAACTGGGTAAACAACAGCAGCCTTCAAAGTCACATCCAGCAAAATTGTTTAACTGCTCTCACCATAGTATGTTCGTTGAGCATTTTTAACATATTTTTTTATAAATAAAAAGACAAAAGACTGACTGAAGTCTTTTTATTATATTATAAATGTTAACAAACACCTTTTAAGACTTTCGAATTTAAAAAGGTTAGTCAGAAAGAATTCCAAACAGCGAAATGACAACATAACGACAAGAATATCTACTGAGCTTTATAAACCAGATTGACGAGTGCTTCTAACAAAGTTCATAAAGGCCTAATACTGGTGCTTTAGCTGAATCACATTTCTAAATATGAAGACTTATGTTTAATTTTATTTCAAAAAGATAATGTTTTCATGTAAATATAAAAACAAATCATGAAAAAATCTACATAAAAAGCATTTACCCGATGGCCTTATTTCTTATTTTTTTATTATAAATATCCGATCAAAGTGGACTTCACTAGATTGACTTGGAATACGTGTACTTTTACAAGGTCTTTCACTCTTTAACAAATCAAGAGAATACTGCTAAATCTAAATGCGTATTTGTAGTGTTTATATTGTAAAACTCAAAATTTTGTCTTATCAGGTTTTAACATTATTATACAATTTATTATTTATATATATATATATATATCACATGCAGATATTTTGTTAGCTCTACGATATCATCAAACTGCTGGACATATTTGTTGAGTTTTGTTGATTGATTTTTCCACACTCAGTCGGTATTCCAATGGGTATTAGTTGTTCACCACTTCTGTTGATTGGTTTTTGTACTCATATGAAGCAGAATTCATACATAATCTTCTCGAAGACAAAAAGAAAAAACATCTTGCAAAGTTCTATAATTCAACTTTCAGACATCGTGATGATGTCCTGTCACTTAATAACCCACATTTCAATGAGTGCTTACATTTCATACATGTATATCCCAGTGAACTTGATATAAAGGATACTACCGAAACTAGACGATCCGATTCATATCTTGATTTGTTCCTAGATATTGACTCAGATGGACGACTTCAAACTAGAATCTATGACAAACGTGATGATTTCAACTTTCCAATTGACAACTTCCCATTTTGCATTTTTCATAACAGTAAAATACCCTTTGCTCCGTCGTCCATTTTTTCAATATTTCAATTTATACGTTATGCTCGTGCATATTCACACTATACGGACTTCGTCAACATGGATGTGCTCCTTACACAAAAACTGGTCCTACAGAGTTATGAGGAAGAACGACTGAAATTGACACTTCATAAGTTTTCGATCACCAGTACGAATTAGTTGACCAATACGATATGTCTGTGTCTCAACTCATTAAAGACATGTTTTCACGGTCTTAGATTATAAGATACCTGTAAATTAGTATAATATGTAATTTTATCGCTTGTGTCCTACATGTATTCCCGACTGTGATATTTTCTTTGCATGGTGGGTGATGCATGCATAACAGGAGAGGCTTTCCATATCGACGCACCCTTTCTAGTTCCTTGAGCTTCATATGATTCACTAATATTTGTTTATGACCTTAATTTGTCTCTTCTAAATTGATTTATGAGATTTGAACATCGAACTATTTTCGCCTTAAATAACAATGTGTCTTCATTGGATTGAAAATAATTAGATACATAACCAACTTAAAACTAATAGACTTCTTGAATACTTTCACATCTAAAATATAAAGGTCTCTGTGAGCCCTTGGAGGATGGGAGTCAGAGCGCAAGTCACATTGTTTGTTTACGATAATATTTTGCTTCGTGTATTAGATTTTAAGATTTATTGAGAGTTTGATATATAAATGGTCACTTATGTAGTATATATATATATACATGTAATTACTCAAAGTAATAATATACATGTATACGTTACTGGAACAAAAAATAAGGAAAAAACCTTGATGAATGTTGTACTAAAATCAAAAACAAGCTGATCACATAATGTCTCAACTTTTTCATTACGTTACGTTGAAGTCGTGAGTAGTTGAACTGCAGAAAATACAATGAATCATTCCTAATGCACCGAGAAATCAAATAAAATTCGGACAAATATAGGACAATGTTAAACGGAATATGTATAGACAAGCTTCCAAACATAATACTTGCATCTATGAAAGATTTTTGAGCTCTTAATAACAACTATCAAAGATTTCAAAACATGAATCATACGAACACCAATGGATGAGCTAAGATGTTCCGGCAAGATCAGTAGTAACACCCGTAGATAGTCATGTAAAATTTGAAAATTTACCAATCAGAATAAACAATTGACTTCCCTCGATATGAACGAAATGTGAAAATTGATTAATGCCAAACGTTTTACACGGAAAGCCTTTAGTTACTGCATCAACGAAAGCTATGGATTCGTTAGTAATCGTGGGATACCAATTTTCGTTGATTTCGTGGGTATAGGACAACCAAGAATTTAAATGCTCAACGAAAAATAAATGTTCTATATGCTGGTTTGCAGAGTTTGCTAAACCCATGAAGTCAAATATCCATGAAAATACATTGTTTCCTCAATACATAAAAATGGGTACCTACGAAAATAAATGAATCCACAGTATTATTGAAAAGACTAAAATGACAAGAAAAAATAGGAAAGAAAGTAGATGACTATTGATTTGAAATGCATGACTAAAAATATGATTACTGGCACTAATATGATAAATAAGAAAGGCATAGCTATTGGATTTATATTGAATCTCTAGAAAAGAAAGTATAATGTAAGCTTGTTACTGAAACATAGGTAACGCTTATCTCATTTTGATATTCCTTTGTGTGATCATTAATTTCCTATTTAAATGTATTTGATAGTCCCATGAATACCATTACGTTTCTGATACATTTTCCAAATTCTATGATAACTTACATGCTCCTCCGTAAGTCGGTACAGATTGACAAAATGCTTAGCCAGAGCCCATCTCCCACACATAGTATATTCTAACATAAAAAACTGGTCTTTTTTTGCTGGCTGTTTATCATATGGCCGGTCTTTAAAATCTACGTCGCCTGTTCCACCTATTACATTTGTTATTCTTTTCGTCTCTGTAACTGTAAAAAATAAATTATGCATGCAATATTCCGAAATAGTTTACATTTGAATAAACTAGATATCATTGAGATGGGAGCAGTCTCTGTGGGCCCGCTGTGAATAATGTGTAAATTTGTATCTTTATCATTGGACATGGGGTTGTCAACTGAAACCAAAGTTTTTGACCTTGACCTTTGACCTAGGAAGTTGTACATAAATTAAGACGGACGGACGGATGGACAGACTGATCACTATAGGGCGTCCGCCATTCGGCGGGGCCCTAATTAATCTGAAAAATTTGAGAAAACTGGTGAAGGAGAAGGATTGTTTTTGAACTTATTTGTCCATGCAAGTTTACCACCAGGTTTTTGGTTGGGTTCGTGTTGCTCAGTCTTAAGTTTTATATGTTGTTATTTGTGTACTATCGTTTATCTGTCCGTCGTTTTTGTTTTTTGCAATGACATTGTTAGTTTGTTTTCGATTTATTAGATATAAGAAGATGTGGTATGAGTGCCAATGAGACAACTCTCCATCCAAGTCACAATTTGTTTTAAGTAAACCATTACAGGTCAAAGTACTTCAACATGGTATCCCTTTGGTATCTTTCAGCTCTCTTTCATAAATGAGAATGAGAGCGATTTCATGATGAATGTACGATAGATAGAACCTAAAAGTCACGTGTTACTCTCATATTGTATTTCACATTTAATGTTATCTGATATTGTATTTCACATTTAATGTTATCTGATACTGTATTTCACATTTAATGTTATCTGATATTGTATATCACATTTAATGTTATCTGAAATTGTATTTCACATTCAATGTTATCTGATATTGTATATCACATTTAATGTTATCTGATATTGTATTTCACATTTAATGTTATCTGATATTGTATATCACATTTAATGTTATCTGATATTGTATTTCACATTTAATATTATCTGATATTGTATATCACATTTAATGTTATCTGATATTGTATTTCACATTTAATGTTATCTGATATTGTATTTCACATTTAATGTTATCTGATATTGTATTTCACATTTAATGTTATAAGTTATTTAAGCTACCAAAATCAAATAATAACTAACCTTGCAAATTAGCCTTTTCCTCTTCAGTTGTACTACCCGACTCTCTATTTTCTCTGAAAATATTAAAACTAACAAGTATTGCACAACATATTAATTCTCAGTTATTTCCTTTTCTAGAATCAACACGGCTTACCTTGGTGGATGAAATAGTGTAAATTTGTACAATTTGTTCCTTAAGTTTAAATCTTTGAGTTTTGATGCCGCATTTTGTTTTTATTTTTTTATTTTCTTGTGTGTGTATGCGTAGATTTAAGTAAAATTTGAACTTTTTACTATTTCAAATAAAATATGGTTGAAATGAGTGCTTTTCTCTGAGCTACAAATTGTCAGATCACAGTAATTGTGTGTTTATTTAACAATGACTTTATTGGAAAGCATAAAAGGAAATCAATGTCTTCATTTGCTGAATACATTTAGTCTTTGCTCATACAGCATTTATGTCATTTATTTGATTTTAAACTGTATTTTGTAATGTTACTCTACAATGTATTTCAAGTTTTAACTTACAAATATTCGTATGTTATTTCCATTTCCACCTCTCTGAGTGGCTTTATAAAAACGTTCCTGAATGGCACATCTACAATGGTAATAAACAGAATAACAAGACAAAGAAAACGAAATAAGAACAATGCTAAAAAAAATTATAACAATATTTATCAAATAAAAAAAAACAAGAATGTGTCCATAGCACACGGATGCCGCACTCGCACTATCATTTTCTAATGTTCAGTGGACCATGAAATTGCGGTCAAAACTTTAATTTGGCATTAACATTAGAAAGAGCATATCATAGGGAACATGTGTACTAAGTTTCAAGTTTTTTGGACTTCAACTTCATCAAAAACTACCTTGACCAAAACTTTAACCTGAAAAACTTTTACCTGAAGCGGGACAGACGGACGGACGGATGAACGAACGAACGAACGGACGCAGAGACCAAAAACATAATGCCCCTCTACTATCGTAGTTGGGGCATAAAAATTATTGACAATAATGATATTAATCAAATAAAGTCTTTTAAATGTAAAAGCGACAAATATTTTGTTGCATACTATGTAAGTCATGATCATTCTTAGTAAGATCAATTGATTTCTACTTCGGTGCCTCATAAGAAAATAAACTTAGTTTTTAAAATAAGACAGAAAATAGTTAACATGGTTAAGTAGGAAAGTATCTTGCTGCAACTTCATTGCTGAATTCGAGCTTTATTTAACAAACAACTATATATTACCAAAACATAATGACGATCAACAACTGTAAATCTGACCAGCCGTTGGTTAACGGTAATACACGTACATTGTAACGTTGCAGCATGGTTATGTGAATAGGTATATATACCCAAATAATTACATTAGATGCATGTTTCATTATAATACGTTATTCCGATTGGCTAACTGCAATCTCGCGTTATTTCTTAAACAACTTCATTACAAAATGAAATTTATCATTCACGATGACACGAGGTCCCACAATAAAGTGCACAGGTATATCAAATAAAAACTAGAAAAAAATCGTGTGTTCATGATCCTAGCTAAAAAATGTAATTATAAGTATTGAATGCTTCTTTTTGTAACTTCATAGGGTTGTAAAAGCGTTGACTGTGCGCTTCATACAAAATGTACTTCGGTCAACACTTTTACACCCCAATGAAGTTACAAAAAGAAGCATTCAATTCTTAAGTAATCGAAAGTAGGCAAACATTTCAGGTGTTAATGAAGGCGGTAATGTAGACCTCTCCTTAGACAAACCAATGTTGTTAACGTGAATAAGACTATCTAAAAAGTTATGGGGTAATTTCTAACTAATAATGACTAGCTATTATAAGATGAAGTCCCAACACGTATAAAGGCAGTGAAAATATTAAAAATAATCATATATAAATAGTGTAATGAAGAAAATAAAAATGTTAAAATAAATTGAACAATACAAGTTAAAATATCTTAAGTAAGAGTGGTGTATTACAATATCAAAACCAGGTAATTTGGCACCACTACACGTATTATTTTAAAAACAAATACATTCATTAGGTTTTATTTTAAATATCTGACAGCATTTAGGATTGTTGTGCTATCAATTTATTTATCTTCATGCAGATTTACTTAAATAAATGATGACTTACATATATAACGGAATGTTCCCATCCATCGATAGTTAACATCAGTATCATACATCAGATCGGCGTACATAACATAACCAAAACATATGATTCCATATCCTATCAGTTTGTTGTTATTGAACCCACCAATTGTGTTATAGTGGTCTGTTCTACCTAAAATAAAAAATGTATAGTTATAATGCAGTCCCTGTCGCGTGTTAATATAAATAGTAATAAAAGGAGCTGTTCTAACTTAAGCTTTAAAAGAAATGACCTTTATGTAATATTGTCATTTAGACTCATTAGATTATATATAAAAAGAAGATGTAGTATGATTGCTAATGAGACAACTCTGCACAAGAGACCAAATGCAAAGAAATTAACAACTATAGGTCACCGTACGGCCTTCAACAATGAGCAAAGCCCATACTGCATAGTCAGCTATAAAAGGCCCCGAAATGACAAATGTAAAACAATTCAACCGAGAAAACTAACGGCCTAATTTATGTACAAAAAAATGAACGAAAAACAAATACTAGTATGTTACACAACAACAAACGACAACCACTGAATTACAGGCTTCTGACTTGGGACAGGTTCATACAGAATGTGGCGGGGTTACACTCGTTTGAAGGCGCCAACCCTCTCCCTAACCTGGTATAACAGTACAACATAAGAACAAACTATAAAAATCAGTTGAAAAAGGCTTAACTCATCAGATGAATACAAATAGAAATACATCTAACAAAAAACTAGAGGCTCTCAAGAGCCTATGTCGCTCACCTGTATTTACTGATGCTTTGGAAATTATGTAAAATAAGGTTAAAATCATAATTAATAGTATTAGATATCAGATATTATAATGATATCTAAGATAATAACAAAAAATTGTAAAATTACTAACTCAGGGGCAGCAACCCAACAATGGGTTGTCGGATTCGTCTGAAAATTTCAGGGCAGATAAATCTAAATCTGATGAACATTTTTGCCACCTGTCAGATTTGCTCTAAATGCTTTAGTTTCAAAGATATAAACCAAAAACTGCATTTTACCCCTATGTTCTATTTTTAACCAAGTCGGCCATGATGGTTGGAAGGCGGGGTCATCGGACAAATTTTTAAAACTATATACCCTAATAATGATTATGGCCAAGTATGGTCAAATTTGTCTCAGTAGTTTCAGAGAAGAAGATTTTTGTAAAAGATTACAAAAATTTGTTAAAATTTTACTATGAGGGGCAATAACTCCTAAAGGGGTCGACTGACAATTTTGGTCATGACGACTTATTTGTAGATCTTACTTTGCTGAACATTATTGCAGCTTACAGTTTATCTCTATCTATAATAATATTTAAGATAATAACCAAAAACTGCAAAATTTCCTTAAAATTACCAATTCAGGGGCAGCAACCCAACAACAGGTTGTCAGATTTGTCTGAAAATTTAAGGGCAGATAAATCTTGATCTGATAATCAGTTTTACCCTATGTCAGATTTACTCTAAATGCTTTGGTTTCAGAGATATAAGCCAAAATCTACATTTCACCCCTATGTTCAATTTTTAGCCATGGCCGCCATCTTGGTTGGTTGGCGGGGTCATCGGACACATTTTTTAAACTAGATACCCTAATGATGATTGTGGCCAAGTTTGGTAAAATTTGGCCCAGTGGTTTCAGAGGAGAAGATTTTTGTAAAAAGCTAACGACGACGACGACGACGACGACGACGACGACGACGACGACGACGACGGACGCAAAGTGATGAGAAAAGCTCACTTGGCCCTTCAGGCCAGGTGAGCTAAAAAGAGTGGACGTGGACAAATGCTTATACATCCCCCACAACAAAAAAGACACTAAGTACAGATCTGAGAGTACTGTAGTTGACATTTATAAAACAAAATGCATCCCTATTTCCTAGCAAATTATTTTAGGTCTAAACCTATCGTTAAAATGTCGATAAGAAAAGATGCATGCTTGAAATTGTAGAAGTTTTTTTATCATCTCAATACATATCTCAAGAACCAGTGTTATCCCTCTAAAACATACTTGTCAACGACACTTTATGGTTCATTGAATTTGAGGTGAGACATTGAACTCTTAATCAATTTAATTTATTGAATGCACTTTAACTTTCCCAGATGAATCTTTTAAACAGCTCATGTTGTACTCTGACTGCTAATGACGTCTTTACACTAAATCCATTGAATGCTGGATGTGTACCGATTGATATTTTAGTCTTAGATGCATGATTGTTTTATTAGTTGTTATTGGCTTTGAACAAGCTGTCAGTAACTGCGAGTACTCTCAGATCTGTAATGAGTGTCCTTTTGTTGTGAGGATGTATAAGTACCCCGCCACGTCCACTCTGTGTTTTTGTTAGATGTATTTCTGCTTTGTATCGATACTATTAGTTAAGCCCTTTTTCAACTGATTTTTATAGTTTGATCTTATGTTGTACCGTTACACCACTTTCCCAGGTTAGGGGGAGGGTTGGCGCGCCTTCAAACTTGTTTAAGCCCGCCATATTCTATATGTGCCTGTCCCAAGTCAGGAGCCTGTAATTGAGTGGTGGTTGTTGTTTTTTGCTGTTTATCATATTTGTTTTTCGTTTATTGTTTTGTATAGTGTGTTCTTGTGTTGTGCTGTTGCACCACTGTCCTAGGTTAGGAGGAGGGCTTGGTGCCATCTAACTAGTTTAACCCCGCCACATTCTGTGTGCCTGTCCCAAGTCAGGAGCCTGCAATTCAGTGGTTGTCGTTTGTTGCTGTATATCATATTTGTTTTTCTTTCATTATTTTGTGCATAAATCAGGCCGTTAGTTTTCTCGTTTGAATTGTTTTACATTTGTCATTTCGGGGCCTTTTATAGCCGACTAATATATATATGCGGTATGGGTTTTACTCGTTGTTGAAGGCCGTACGCTGACCTATAGTTGTTAATTTTCTGTCTCATTTGATCTCTTGTGGAGAATTGTCTCATTGGCATTCATACCACATCTTCTTATTCTTATATATAGGTCTCAAATACATTAGAACAGACCTCATAATTGAATCAAATATATAACAAAATATATGTGAGAATAGGATGTATATGCATTGACATCATTTTGAGAATTTGAGAAATCATTGACTACAAAAGCCAACCCTAGTCATAAAGCGTTAACAACAGTAAAAGTTACCTACTTTTGATCGATAGTTATTCCCAACAAATTCATCCTTTGACCAATTCATATGATTTTAGCTTTCTTAGTATTGGATAACTCAACGTGGATAGAAAACTTAATATAAGTAAACAAAGCATGAAATAAGAAAGTTTGATAGGAATGCTGATTCACTGTACCAATTTATACATGCATCATAATAGGTCACTTTGTATATGAGAAGAACCACGGACCTCTATTTTCTGAATATAAAAGCAAAATTAGAAAAACCTCTTATAATGTGTAGAACTGATGTCATTACATCAAATACTCCATGTGCAAGTTTAGCAAGTCCACAAGCAGACCCTGTAAAAGAATATAGTCATTAGTTAAATAAAATGTTATTCTTTTTTACACACACTCAATATTTGTCCTCTTAGATTTAACTGAATGATCATGCAAATAATAGAGATTATCAAAATTTTATATTTTCAATAATCTGGTTTATTTCAATCAAATATTTGTGTGGGTGTGTGGGTGTTGCAGCCTTTAGCTCATTGCCATATTGGGCATGGCCATAGATGGCGCTCTCAGGTGGAATCTGAATTTTGGAATTCCCGTATCGGGCACTTGTTAATTTGCTGTCGACAACAAAGCAGGTGCTGCAGAAATTAGTTAAATTATTTAAACGAAAATATGCCAAACAAAAGAAATGCCAGGGGATCGCCATCAAGGGCCATTGGAAAGAAGAGGAGGACGACCAGCAGGAAAGAAGGACAGGGAGTGCGGAACGAAGAAATCACTCAAAAGAAGGACGGAGTTGGACGGAAAAGAATGGTCAGGAAAACACAGGAGGTGGGACACGTGGAGACACAAGGACCAGAAGAAAATGCTGAAATATCATCAGGTAATGAGTCGGAGGAGTATGCACGGGCATTCCCCTCTTTTAGACACGACCCTTCACACAAACATTTTGAAATGGCAAATAATTCCATTGATTTCACTCCGACACAAGAGTCTAGCATTCATGACACAGTAGGGGAACACGTGCCTTTTAAAATTAAGGAAAAGATTTGGGAGGGAAAGTTTATAGAGCTTCATTATCTTTTGAGAACGCAAAAAGAAATGGAGGAGGTTGAAGAGGGCGATTTGAAATTAAAAAGGGGGAAAATTTGCATTGAAAAAAGATCGTCGGGTGTTTATTTGTCCATAAATGAATGGACTTCAGCATTCATAGTTTTTATGAGTGTCTACATTGAGAAATACAGGACACGGGCACAGGAATTGTTAAAACATATGCGCGATACAAGATTAGCGGCAACGAGGTCAGAAAACTGGGCCACCTATGACGAGCAATTTAGGCTAAAAATAGAAAAGAATCCAAATTTATCTTGGGGAAACATACACGGTGAATATTGGCTAATACACATCACATCTCACACAGTACAAAACAATGTGTCAGTGCAATCACAGGGTTATAGAACAAATACACAAAATCGTGGTCATTATAATCAAATGCAGCTACATTTTCAAACACTAACACGAGAACACATCAACAATCACAGGTAACTAGTGGAAGTGTAAATATGTCATGTAAATACTATAAATAATGGTAATGACTGTCCCTACTTCCCTCGTTGTAGGTTTAAACACAACATGTATGTGAAATATGCAGTGGCAAACACAGAAAGGCCCAATGTAATAACCGGGCCCAAGGAAGAAGTAACAAAAAGTATTAATTTTTATTCATTAGGAAATACTCCTGTTAAAGTATCGGTCTTGGAAAATTATTTAGAATTTTACCCACATAACAATGTAGCACATGAAATTATATCTGGTTTCAAATATGGTTTTTCATTAAAATATTTTGGCTCTAGGGAACCAAGGGAGAGTTCCAATATAAAAAGTGCATTACAGCTACCCAACATTTTTAAAGAAAAATTAATGAAGGAAGTTAAACTTGGTCGCATTGCTGCATGGTCCTTTCAGATACCCGCCTTTTCCCACACTTCAGGTATCACCAATTGGGCTAGTGCTAAAAAATGATGGGGATTTTAGACTTATTCAACATTTATCCTATCCTGAGAATAATTCAATAAATGATTTTATTGATAAAGATCATTGTTCAGTGCAGTACAGTTCAGTGGACGAAGCATGCAGCATGTTTGATTAATAGACACAAAACATTTGCCCGTTTAAGTCAGTGTGATGTAAAAGCGGCTTTTCGTTTGTTGCCAATTGCCCCGCAGGATTTTGACTTGTTAGGGATAAAATTTCAGGGTGAATATTATCTTAATAAAATGATGCCAATGGGGGCCTCAATAAGTTGTGCCCTGTGAGAAATCTGCAAAAGCTTTGCATTGGATAATACAGCAAAAAAGCGGAAATGATAATATCCTCCATTATTTAGATGATTTTCTTTTTGTCGAGTCGAGCCAAACATCAAAAGTTGGCAATACTTTGAAGATATTCCAAGAGGTATGCGACAAAATAGGTGTTCCTCTTGCTAGTGACAAGACTACTTTGCCTACTACATTACATATTTTTTGGGGTATAGAATTTGATACACAGAATTTAATCATGCGGCTTCCAAATGAAAAATTTGTCAAACTCTCACAAAAAATCAGAGATACCTTAGACGGTTCTAAAATAACTCTTAAAGATATGCAATCTCTTCTTGTGCTCCTGAATTTTGCTTGTAAGGTGGTTGCTTCAGGCCGCACCTTCTGTCGCAGACTTATAAATTCAACAATCGGGGTAAGAAAATCATATTACAAAATTCGTGTAAACAAGCAGACGAAAGCAGATTTAGAAGTTTGGTTAGACTTTTTAAAACAATACAATGGTGTCACTGTAATAACCGACAATGTATGGGTTTCAAATGAAAAATTAGAGTTGTTCACGGATAGTGCAGGGGGGTCCAAAGGTGGATATGGGATCTATTTTGCAGGTCAGTGGGCCCAAGGCATATGGCCAAAACATTGGGTTGAAACTGGAATCACCAGAGATATGACATTTTTAGAGTTGTTTCCAGTTGTAGCAGCACTTATGTCATGGGAATCATATTTTGTTAACAAAAAAGTTATTTTACATGTTGATAATCAGGCGGTTGTTCAAATCATTAATATGAAAACTAGCAAATCAAGTAGAGTTATGACTTTAGTAAGACAAGTGGTTTTAATGAACTTAAAAAACAATACGTCAGTTAAGGCAATTTATATCCCTTCAAAACAAAACCAAATTGCTGATTGTCTCTCTCGTTCTCAGTGAGGGAAGTTCAGAAGCCTAGCTCCAGAAGCAGACCAGTGGCCAACCAAAATTCCAACACGGATCTGGAACATTTAAGTCAGGTGGCGGATTATATTGTCAATCAAGGTGTGTCCAAAAATACACAAAAAACATACAATTTGGCTCTGTCAAAACTTTGTAATTTTAGATCATCTTACAAATTGAAACAGCATTGGCCAGTGCCTGTCAATGATTTGCTAAATTTTATAGCTTTTTTGTCAGTATAAGGTCTTTCTGGGGGTACCATATCATCTTATATATCAGGAGTTTCATACCATCATAAAATACAAGGCAAACAGGATACTACAAATTCTTTATAATTGGCAAGGCATTAGAAGGAATAAAAAGAATTCAAGGAGGGAAACGTAATGACATTAGAGCACCAATTACAGTGCAATTGTTAGCAGATATGATAGGTTGTTTAGATAAAGTATGTAAGAATAAATATGAAGCTGCTTTATTTTCAGCAGTTTTTTCAGTTGCCTTCTTTGGTTTGCTAATGGTAGGGGAAATCACTACTTCAAAAACTAAGTCTGTTATAAATGGCTCCTACTTAACAATTTCTGATATTTTAGTTAAGAAAAAAATCCTGGAGCTAAGAGTAAGGTGGTCAAAAACTGACCAAAAGGGAATTTCAAAGTCCGTTACTTTATTGATACCCGAGAACATAAAAAACTACTGTCCGATACGACTCATTAACGAATACTTAAAGGTACGACCTACCTGTAACAATAAAGATTTGTTTATACATTATAATGGTATGCCTTTAACTAGATACCAATTCAGCAGTATACTAGAAAAGGCTTTACATTTTCTTCATATTAGTAAAGGTCATTTTAGGTCACACAGTTTTAGAATTGGGGGACCACGGAACTAGCCAGGCAGGGGGTCTCAGAGGAGGTAATTATGAAATTAGGCAGATGGAAATCGCATGCTTATTCTCGCTATATTAGGTTGCAATTTTTCTAGTTTCAAAAGGCTAACAAGCTATAAGTTTTCACAGGTCCCAAGATTTTATGGCTTGTTGGAAGTTCCCTTGTTCATTGGGCCAATGTAGAGGCGAAGAAATATGGTAGGACCAACCTGGGACTCGAGTCCAAAGGTGTAACAACATACTGGATTGGGCAACCTGGTTTACAGATTAAAAATTTGGACTCCCTACTGGATGCAAAAAGAAAATTTTTACCTCCCTAATTTTATTATTATTCACTGTGGAGCTAATGATTTGACAGATTTAGAATTGACAAGGAAGGGTTTAATTGAACATGTAAAATGTTCTATCCTACGTTACCAGGCTGTATTTAAAAATGTTATTGTAATATGGTCTTCAATGCTACAGCGCAGATACTGGCATTTTGCACCCTTGAATGCGGGTGCAATAATCGAACAGGAGAGAAAAAGAGTGAATTCAGTGGTCAAAAACTTTGTAATAGAAAATTGGGGGAAAGCTATATTACATGAGAACATTAGGGCAAGTGAAGTGTCTTTATACAGAACAGATGGAACTCATTTATCACAAACTGGAAATCAGGTTTTCTTAAATAATATACAAGGGGGGTTGAGTCTTTCCTACGCACAACAATTTCAACTTTTCCAATGCTTCAATAATGAAATTTTTGTGCAGGTGAGAACCCAAGTCAGATTTGGTAGCTGACTTGGCCTCTCATGTGGCGGTCCAGGGAGACTGGAAGTGATTGGAGGATTATTTCACTCGGCCCTTGCTCTGGGCCTGACAAGTTCTACAATTTGCAGGTTTGGAAAATGTGGTTACTGGTAACGGTGGGGTCTACAGATGGGTAACTCTGGGATCTCCTCCACCTCATCTTATAGAGGGGATGCCTACACCTGCCAACAGGTGGGGCACTAATAACTGGAGCATTGGTAATACGAGTGTTTTCCCCGGTCACTCCCCATGGTAGGTGGTGGTGTAACTGTGTTTAACTACCAGGGGTTTTATGACACTATGTCAACATAGGTCAGCTGATAGCCATTGTGTATAGGTAATCGGTAGTCACCCTGGCGCCTCAACAAAATATTATAGAATACTCTGTAGCCAAAGTAATGCCACAAAGTAAAAATGTATATTCTAGTCATGAAATTGTAAATACAAGTTGGTGTAATAAAATGTATGTGTAATTAGAATGATTGTTTTTGTATAAGTTGTAAAAGTTATAAATGAAAAACAGAGGATGGAACCTCTACACAAATGAGTATAATTTACAGAAAGTCTGTAGTATTTTAATTTTGGTTTTTGTGAATTACGATTAACAACAGACAAAGAGAGACAACTCTAGAACAATTTTTAATCACTTTGTGATTAAAGGAAGGACTTCAACATAGTTTAGAAAATACGTCAACAACTCTTGATCGTTGTTCTTCATCTCATTGTTATTCGTTCAGTATTAATATAGGGTCTTCTTCTATGAGTATTGCAATTAACTATAAGTTTTTAAAGTCCAACATATAGCTAATACACATAGCTGTTCGTGTCTATTTCCCGAGCAATGACAAATCTTATTTCTATCTTAAGACAAAGGAAACCTTTTGTTTTTCTACCGTTGTTGCAGTAGGCGTACTCTATGATAAGGCGAAAATATATAAATGTTCAAAAATGTTTACATCGTTTAATAATACTGGTACTAACAAATATATATTTGCAATCTCCGCTATCAGTTTCAATTAGTGACGTAAAGACATTTTATTTTTTGAATTACCAAAAACTACCTTAATAACGATACTATAATCTCATAAAGAATGGCAAATTTATTTCTATTTTTCGAAGCATTAACTATTTGAACACCTCTGAGCAAATTGTTATAAATTGTCTTAGTTCTATAATGTTTTACACAATTTTGAAGATACCTTCCGTAAATAACATGGTACATATAAATAAATGGTTTGTACCATGGTATTATATGTACGGGTAATATATATTAACTAAAAGGATCTTGTGGTATTGTATATCAAATTTTCATATGATGAAGACATAATCTTTCAATCAGTTTAATTAAGTCTGGAGCTGGCATGTCAGTAACTGCCAGTAGTCCTTTGTTAATTTATGTATCATTGTCATTTTACTTACTAATAGTATCTTTTGTTATCTATTTTGACATCGGACTCGGACTTCTTTTAAACTGAGTTTTACTGTGCGTATTGCTGTGTGTTTGTTTTTTCTACATTGGCTAGAAGTATAGGGGAGGGTTGAGATCTCACAAAACATATTTAATCCCTCCGCATTTTTGCGCCTGTCCCAAGTCAGGAGCCTCTGGCCTTTGTTAGTTTTGTATGATTTTTAATTTTAGTTCATTTATATGTTTTGGAGTTTAGTATGATGTCCATTTTCACTCAACTAGTGATCATTGTTGTTCAGGGGTCAGCTGATGCCCGCCTCCGGGTGCGGGATTTTCTCGCTGTGTTGAAGACCCATTTGTGGCCTTCGTTTTCTGCTCTTTGGTCGGGTTGTTGTCTCTTTGACACATTCCCCATTTTCATTCTTAATTTTATTTAAAAGCAGGGTTACTGAATAATGAAAAGAAACACCATCCTCTTTCCTTCTTGACAGTAACATTAAAAACTTCATATAAACAAATGAAACTGTCATTCCCATACCTGTAGGTATAACGCCAATAGGGAAATCCATCGTTTTCAAAAGAGAGGAACTATTGTTGAAATCTACACCAGCTTCATGTTGCCTTTTTCTCATCAGAACATTTATTATTTCTGAATATGTTCCATCACCTCCCATTATAATTAACCTGACAAATAAATAATTCAGTGAACTCTAGTATTTAAATTGGACTGATTGAAAATTACACCAAATTTAAGGTTTCGCTTATCAGCTCAAATTAAAGAGAAAATTCCAATCAGATGAAAGTTTACAATGGATCGGTTTTATGACGAGAAATCAAAGAAAATATTTTTTTACCTCGACCCCTTCTTTTGTTCTTGCTAATAAAATGTTTTGACTTTAAACAATATGTCAAATTGCTATGATTATATTATAAATAAAATAAAATGTTACGTTTATCTCAAATTACCCGTCCACAGAATTAAAGTCGTAGTTCTCTGTTATTTCTTTAAAATGGTACGCTCTTTGTGAAACTATAAAAAAAAATTGGAAATCAGGTCATTTAAAGTGAACTGTTTCTCATTCAAAAAATATGAGAACATATGTTTTGTATAGAATCTTAACAGCTCTTAAATAAAAGCCGACTATGTCGTGCAAAGTTATACATTGTACCATAACTATATATAAGAAAGACATTTGACTGAATAGATAATTTATTCCAATACGGATAATTATTCAGAACGAATAGCGGATAATTGAAAAGAACAGATAACTTTCAAATACTACATGTATATTAATAGTGTGCCACTATTAATCCACCATTCTACCTCTGAGGAATGTCTGTGGTGGACCGAAAGGATCAGGCTGCGAATCATCATCAGGCGTTGTTAAATGTATAATTATAATTATGTTTTTGGCATTATCCCTTCTTGTTTTGTCATATTTTTCCAATCATACACAGTAAATTTGGCTTCAACTAAGAAAGTTTCATCTTTGGTTAAAAGTAATACCCTTAAGAATTCCGTAAAATTATCATGAGCCACAAAATAAGGCTAGGTTATTAATTATCCCCATAAATTGCCCTACTAGCCACAAATTTTAACATGTAAACTATACAAACCTTTCAAAGTCAATAGACCATGGCTGAGGGAGCAAGGACAACTAATTTCCATGAAATTGAGATGTGACAATGCTTATACAACTGCATACCAAACATCATTGACTTATCATAAGTGGTTTCCCTTAAACTGACCTAATCACAAACTTGAACAATAGACCATGACTGAGGGTTCATGGCCGTCAAGTTGAGACAAAACAAACTAGATCAAATTGATTAACTTTAGCATCCAGATTCTTGTGAAATTCAGTTTATATCAAGCTGTGTTATATCCTCATTATATACAGAAAAATCTTTTTTGGGCCTCTTTTTAAAAAAAGACAGTGTTTCCCTCGACCCTTGCTAAATCACACGACAATAAATTAGAGAAATATCCGGACAAAAACAATTTGCGGAATTTCCTTCCATGTATTGCTGCCTATTTTTGTAACTGAACTTGACCTCAACGTCCAAAGGCTTTGTTTCCGTCTTTTTATCATCAGTCTGTATACATTTATTTAAATCCCATGAAATTACCAAGATGATAAAATTACATCATTTATCTAAATTTTCCGTTTTTGGATCTGTAAGTTAAACATTTGACCCAATGACATTCAGGGAGCATTATAACAGATGATGGTGTTGAGGTCAATAAGTCGGTAGCCAAAGACCATTTTAGTACAGAATAGTTGCGACTGATTTTAATAAGGACTATAAAAGATCTTCCATCAAATAAACATTCCCTAAATGAAAGTACAAAAAGTAAAAAAATAGAACTCAAGATACACAGTTAAGAGGTACGAAAATGTACCATACAGTCTGTTTCAAACCAGGAGCATGTAGTCCAGTGCTACTCGTTAGTAGCAAACAGTCTTTTTTCATTTATTAAATGTTAAAAGATATATCAGGCCGCAGCTTTTATTAATCGTATTGATTAACATTATGTTAAAGAGTCCTTTTTTAAAAGCTTACTACTGTTATTACGGTGTGGGATTTGCTGATAATTGAAGGCCGTATGGTGACCTGTGGTTTTTTACACTCCTGCCAATTCGTCATCTCGTCTCTTTTTTCAATGACAATTGATGGATATGTAATATGAGATATACCGAAATCATATTGAAACTAATTCCTTTCCAAATTGTTCCCAAAAATGTTTCTTTAAACACTCGTAAAAACGTCTATGGTCTTCGTTATTTTTACCTTTTATCGAAACATGTACGTTATGAAATGTACATGTATCAATGTATCAGAGTTATAAACTTGTCATTTTGTCTTTAAGTTCTTTTTCAGGCTGTTCGGTTTTCGAAGCCTAGATTGTTTGTACGATTAACTCACCAACAACATCTGTCTGTATCCCTGCTAGCTGCAAAACTGGTACCACTTTTTCATCACAAATTTGTTTACCTTTTCCTTTTCCACCAATTGGATTGACAAACACAGCTAATTTCCGCGGTCTTTTTGTAACTACGAAAATATCAAAAAAGTGACAGAAATAACATTTTGTTTTCTGAGACCTTTTCTAGCTTATATTACAGCTGAGACTAGTATAACATATATATATCCATCTTCATGCCTCATATATCATGTACTGTGTTACAACTCTAGATTCTACTGACGAGGAAAGGTAACACTAGGCCACCGAAAGCTGAAATTTTAGTTCAGTCTAGGTGGCCGTGTGGTCTATAGCGCTGGACACTGTGCAGGCGGTGTTGTCTCGATATCCCAACAGCATCAGTAAGAATCCCGGCGAGGGAAGAACAAAAATTTGCTTCCGCAGATTTAACATTGTTGTGCTGATATTTAGAGTAATTATGTATATATATATATTATAATATATACATGTTATAGTAGTCTCAGATTACAGTCCGAATATGCATGAAATATTGGCGACTGGACGTTAAGCAAGCAAGAAACAATCAATCAATCCCTATTGCAGACTCTCGCGGGTTCTCTCTCTTGTTTTGGTTTTGGATATTCATAAAAGTCTTTTTATCATCACTATGATTGTTTATTAATGCATTTTACTGATATACCAAGACCTTTCATAATGAGGATACCAGCTTGAAGGTTGCTTTCATGAATATATTTACTATCCTTATTCATCATACGAAAAATAAACAATATATTCAAAGAAGAAAATGCGAAATTTCAGAACGTTTATGTTTTTAGCGTTTACAAATGTGTGTTAAACCAAGGATTATACCTACCTGCACTGATTTTCTTAGAAAGCGTTTCCTCAAAATCTCTTAAAACCTTATCCTCTGATGTAATATTTAAATATTCTTTCGTCAACTTGTGATTTGGAAACGGGTGATCTTGTATGTAGTGAAGTCTACATGCTTTTCCGTCACCAGATAATTTCTCCAATGATATAATATCTTCGTAAGCACGTTTATCTGGAAAACAGAAAAAAGCCTACAAATGGGTTCCTTGTATTGAAGAAAATTTGACGTCACATATTTTTATGAACATGTTTTTTCCTTGCAAAACTAAATAGACTAAGTTTCACTTCCAATATCAAGACTCAAGGTCTATTATACCGGTTTATATTATAAATATCATAAATCCATATAGGCCAAAATGTAATGTTGGTTTTCGTTTCAAATAAATATCAAGTGAGTCCTCATATTATTAACCTCAATATATATATATATGTTTGACAACAAGAAAAACATACAAGATAAAGAGATCAACGTATGTTCTTATAGCGTCACGACAAACATCGAGTCGTTGTTTCAAGCCCAACTTTGGTCCGATTAATCACAAAGACTTTAAAGATGTGTTTTTGCTGCATTTATGAGGATGACAAAAGACTAAGAAAATAGTGTGTCCTAGTATAAATCGAATAACCTTTCACTGGACTTTAATCATCAGTAGTAAAAAAAAATAACCTCAGATGAGCTCGATATTCAGAAGAATCTGAAATAGGGGACAACGTTTAGGTGGGGGTCTTGTAAAGATATCTACATAAACTAAAGGTGCTTGAGGTCTGTAAGCTTGCTCTCTATTCAATCAAAATTAAAAATTAAAATACAGATATTTGATTTCGTTATGTTCATATGAGCACGCGAGTTGCGATAGATATGTATTCTAATCAGATTGGCTCACTACTGTATCTTCATTTGTTAATCATGTTGCTTAAAAAAGAAAACATTAATGTATATATATTAAAAAGCTCCGAGAGAGTTAAAGAAATATTCATATTGGCATATACCACGAAAAAATGTACAATTTGAGGATTCTTTGTCTACCGGAAATCTTAATATATTTATAGTGATGCAGAACGACGAAAATGTCAAATCTCCTGTACAATACACTGGCAAGCAACAAACTAAAACCAATAAGTTTGTAATTATAAGAAATGTGACGGATGTGGAAGACGGACAGACATACACGTAAGAACGCATATATAAGGACGGACAAATGTATCAACACTTATACAATATGGTTTTTTTTCGAGTGGCGGTATACAAAGGTAATCTAAATGTCCAAAATATATTATTCAAATTAAAGGATATCTTAAACAAAATGTAAAAGTTAAGTACACAGCTATATAAACAAAATTAATGGTACCAACTTTACTGCACCAGATCCGCATTTCGACAATTAATATATCGTCAATGATGCTCTATTCCTATATACTTGAAAATCCCAAAATTTTATATAATCGATGAATAGTTGAGGTCCAAGTGATTATTGTCAGTGGCGGATCCAGAGGGGGGCGTAGAGGGCGTACGCCCCCCCCCCCCCCCCCCCCCTTTGCTTGCACCTTTTTTTTTTTTTTTTTTGTAAAATGATTAATCAGACTAGACTTCGTGAATTTTGCCATTTTCCGCGTATTTAATTTTTATGCGAAAATTCTTTACTTATAAAGATATGTTTCGCTCATATTTACTGTAATATATTATTGATTATGTCAAAATCATGTGATTCGCTACGGTGGAGTTGACCAGTGCGTCGAAAAAACGTCACTCAGTCATTTTGAAATTCAAATTACAGTAACACATTGCTTAGGCTGAGGATGACAAGCATGACACCTTCAAAGCGACAAAGGATTGAGCAAGAACGTATTTATTGACTTCTATTTCACAATTCCACCGAACAAAAAGCAATACTCTATTACACTTTCAGGAAAAAAACGTTCCACAGCAATATTATTTACCTACGAAAACATGTTTAACCCAACACGCCCCGGCCTATTAATAACATAGCTGAATAATGATCCCCAGTCAATAAGCTCTAGATAGATTTAAAGTCTAAGGTACGGACCATTTGATTTGAGGAGGCAGTCTGAGATGTTTGAGAGAAAAAATTCTGACCCTGATTTTTGCCTTAAACAAAAATTCTGGCCGTATCTGGATTGAAAACAATAATCTTGTCCACTTTTTTGCTATTAGAAACAAAAATTTCCAACAGAATTATTTAGCATTAAATGAACATGATGAATAAAAAAAACAGGCGTAATTTTTTTTGGGCCGGGGGTTTGCATGTAAATCCCATATCTGACCGGAATGTCTGTTTCGTCGAACTGATAAAATGAATACTTTTTCAAGGCCCGACTGCAACCTGTCTGCTGGGTGTGGCCTTTATGTCTCCATAGCTTTGAATCCATCCAATCATTTTATAATAGACAATTAATGGGGAGAATACGGCATCAAAAATGTCCAACCCTTACACTTAACTATAAAATATACATGCCTAACGTCAGGAACCGTTAAAAAAGTGCATTTTACACTTATTTTATGTTTTTTAGCCAAAAAAAGGTCCAAAAAAATTTTCGCCTTGCTCCACTCGGCGATTTTTACATACTTCGCCCCCCTTTCCAAAATCCTGGATCCGCCCCTGATTGTTTATGTAAATGAGATTGAAGTGACGTATACGTATTGATAAAGGACAAATTTATGTATAAATATAATTATCTCTTATTTTAAGAAAATATATATAATTTATATAATAGAAAGGATAATCGACAACAAAAACACAATGAAGATCATACATGTGAGGTGGATGGCTTCTGAACATCCAATGTAATGTACATGTATTACTTAACTACTTCCATATATATATACTTAAGTTGGTGATGTTTATAAATAGATATAGTGTATATGTGATGGTCTGGGTATGAGGTACTTCAATTCAGTATGTTTTTTTTTTATTTTTTCAGCTATTGTTCTCTGTTCTTTATAGATTTTCCCACTTATTCTGTATTCTTTATATTTAAGCACCATATTATTCTCTATTCTTTATTTTTGTTTTGCCTATTTTTCTTAATTTTTTTCTTAATTTTTTTTTTTTTTTTTTTTTTTGCCGATTTTTCCGTAGTATTGACCCGTTATTCTCTATTATGTAAACCCTCGAGTGTAAACCCCATCCATACCTTCATATGTGTGTGTGGTACAATAATATAACACTTTTTAATAACTTACAAAATTCGAGAAGATATCAGCGACTCTTATTACGTGTACTATGTTTTAGGTTAACATTATCTTTTTACAATCAGATTTAGCCCATTTTATTATGTCATCTTTGTATGCCTTGTGCATATTTACATACCCTTATTACTAGACAATGCTACTATTATACTGTTCGTCGCGTCCCATTCGAATTATGTGTATCGTTAGAATACGACACCCCTTTTCTTCTCCAATACAATCTAACCCGTGCTGTTTATGTAACAACGGCGAATTGTCAAATTTAATCATCTTTACAAGGGCTATATATATATACTCTAGGAAATCTACACATCATACTTTGCATTAAATAACATTTACTTTTACTGCCTTGAATATTCGTTTGCCCTAAACAAAAATATCTGATTTTATGGTGATTAAAGTACTTGAGTTTATTACCAAATGAAATTTGAATATTAGAGGAAGTAAGGTACATCGGGAGTAATTTCTTCACTTATATATAAACATATAAGTCAGGAATCTGATTACAGTAGTTGTCGTCTGTTTATGTAGTTCATAGTCGTGTTTCTCGTTTCTCGTTTTTATATAGATTAGACCGTTGGTTTTTCCGTTTGAAAGGTTTTACACTAGTAATTATTTTGGGGCCCTTTATAGCTTGCTGTTCGGTGTGAGCCAATGCTCCGTGTTGAAGGCCGTACCTTGACCTATAATGGTTTACTTTTATAAATTGTAACTTGGATGGAGAGTTGTCTCAGACATTGGCACTCATACCACATCTTCCTATATCTATAAATATATATACATGATATACATACATTTGTATCGAAATGAATATAATTTTCTATATCTATAGATCATATATGCATTAGCTGTGGGCTACACAAATATTATTGTTGATCATCTGTTCAAAACCGTATCATGTAAGCTATACTTTTAATCTATAAATAGCCACTTACAGAAAAAAATATGTATGAATCTTATCTGTGTTTGATGGCTATACTTACATTCTTCCTTTCCTGTGAAATACACAATGCCTGATTCTCCTATTTGTATTTCGGTTGAAGCACCAGATATTTGAACGTTAAAATCCATGACACCTTTTGAAGCGCAACAAACAAATATTTCTGATAATTTTGATTTGTTTACATCGATATGTTAAGTATGACTAACGGTTAAAAAGAACGATAACTGTACTAAATAAATGACAAAAATGTACTATATTATAATAAGGTGAAGTATATTATCATTAAGAAGCACAGTTCATGACCAAACTCAGTAAAGACCCGTCTAAATTCCATTTAATTGATAAATTCAACAACACTTATCGTTATCTTGATGATATTTTTTCGTTAAATAATCAACAATTCTCTAATTATACTGCCGAAATTTACCCACAGCAACTTACTTTGAATTAGAACTGTTATTGACGTCTTTACACTAAATCCATTGGCTGTTGGATGTGTACTGATTGATTTTTTAGTCTAAGATACATGATTTTTTTATTAGTTATTATTGGCTTTGAAATAGCTGTCATTACTGCGAGTACTCTCAGATCTGTACTTATAGTGTCCTTTAAAATTTTTGTTGTTAGGAATGAGAGATGGATAAATACCCTGCCACGTCCGGTCTGTGTTTATATTTGATGTTTTTCTGCTTTGTATCGATCTGATGAGTTAAGCCCTTTTCAACTGATTTTTATAATTTGTTCTTATGTTGTGCTGTTACACCACTGTCCCAGGTTAGGGTTGAGCGCTCACAAACATGTTTAACCCCGCCACATTTTTAATGTGCCTGTCCCAAGTCAGGAGCCTGTAGTTCAGTGGTTGGCGTTGGTTCATGTCTATCATCTTTGTTTTTCGTTAATTGTTTTGTTATAAATTAGGCTGTTAGTTTTCTCAATTGAATTGTTTCATATTTTTCATGTTGGGGCCTTTTATAGCCGACTATACGGTATGGGTTTTTCTCATTGTTGAAGGTCATACGGTTGCCTGTAATTGCTTACATCCACTTTATTTGAATTTTGGTGGATAGTTGTCTCATTGGCAATCATACCTCATCTCCTTATTTTTATATATTATCTTGTTTGGTGTAATTCAGTCTGATATGTTGATATGTCTTACTATACTATGAACAGTTTATAAAGCATTGTGTGAATGACAATATAAGGAAAAGTTATTCCAGTAATAGCCATGTTTGATTGGTTTTGAAAATAAACGAAATGATCATGAAATACATGTATTATTCAAAACTCTTTTCCCCTATCATTACACAGTCCGTAAGAACTTATTGTCATTAAAAATCAACAAATATGTCTATAACCGACAATAAATATACACAACCAACCCTGTTGACCTTGCACAGGTAATCAAAGTCGGGATAGCACAATGTAGGAGATAACATACCAGCGATTTTCAAGCATTTTTTTTTTTTATTTTAGTGTTCATAGGTCTAAATATGGAGAACGCCGTATATGTGAATAATTGATTGATTGAATGGTGTTAATCATCAAATAATAAGTAGAGAGCGGATGAAGAACTGGACATTTTTGACAGCCCTAAAAAGAAGGATGTTTTAGGTATAGTCAGAAATAATAGGTTGATTGTATTTTTTTTTCTTCTTAACGTCCAGTGGCATATATTTCATGCATATTCATGACGATAATGTAAGTTGGATTTGGGCAGAAATTTGCCTGGTATCAAGCCACTTACGGACCCTTCAAAATGTTTTCAGAGGTCCTTCAACGAGCAGAGAGTTTTGACACCCTTCATTCGCGAGACATATAATTCAACGTTTAGATTATGCCTGGACGTGGCTTCGTATTAGTACATCCAACACAGCCAAACGGACGCCCCTTTTTAGCATTGGTTTTAATGCCGAACGGGAAGGTCAAATGGTGATCATATGTGTATACATTAGTAAACATTTTGGATATAGGCCAAAATTAAGAAATTAAACCAAGTCAGCTGCTACAGAGAAATTGGACAACGCAAACTAAATTCAGAAAGATTTTTGACATCACCTCGTGTGATTGGTTTGTTTATCAGTTGCCGCCTTGGCAGAAGTTTGAGGTTTGTGAAGTTATTCGGTAAGGTTCTGTAATTTTCAAAAGCATTTGGAAATAACGGAAAGATAACCTGGATGAATACAAGTCATACTAACTCAATTTATACTGAAGAGAGGCGAACGATACCAAAGGGAATTCAAACGCATTAGTCGAAAACAAACTGACAATGCCATGGCAAAAGACAAAAAAAAACATCAAAAGACAAACAACAGTATAAAAAACACAACATAGAAAACTAAAGACTGAGCAACACGAACACCGCCAAAAACTGCGGTTGATCTCAGACTACAGAATGGTAAACAGACCATGCTCCACATATGGCATCCGTCTTGTTGCATATGTAAGTGCAAACTCAGTGATAAGTCTAACTCGGTAGGTCACATTTAAGGAAAGACGAATGGTTTGATTGTGGTTACGACAATAAGAACATATCCGTTGTCATCTGGGAAACATATATTCCATATAACTGTCAACAAACTCATGATGGCGTCCGTAAGATTATCGAAGGGATGATTTCCACTTCACCACTTTGATTTCTTTTGTTTAATAGCTTCATTGTAATCAGCAACCCTCTATCAAGGAAACCATGATAGGAAATGCAAGTTCTGGAATATTGTATCAACTAGGAGATACATACTCCATATGCAGACGCTAGTGGAAGGTGCTACATAGAAATGGAGAGCTCACATTTGGGAATCTGAAATCATTTCTTTTTTTCTCACCCGACCCTCATTGTCAATTTCAATGTAGGTAAATATATGAAGCAGACTTAACTTTATCTGTATATACGAAAAAGCGTTTTTTGACCAAGAGTTGGAAATCTTGATACAGGTTCAGGTTTATGTAAATGAACCAAAAAAATAACCCTTACGGTTGAAATTCCATCAACAAAATCTGTTGAAATAAAGGACGCTACTGCTAATAATTCCATTTATGTTTGCAGTGGTCCCATTACCAGCACCATGTCTGAACTATCTACGAGTTCCTTTTCATGATGTCAGTTTAAATGCAGTACCGAATTGCTGACAGGTATAAAGGCACAACTAACAGAGAAAGACTATGTGTATGCTTTGTTAAGTAAACCTCACTAGCAAGTAGCACGGCCTAAAACGTCAATAGATTACACGAGATTTAGGCTCAATATATTTCGGCTCTTTGTTTAACACATTTTACAGTGAAATGTTGACAATGTTCAGATCTCTAGTTTAACGTGGACTGCCAAAGTATATAGAAAAGAGGAAGTTAAACAGTGATACAATCGGGAGGTTTAGACTTGATGTCGTCAATATTAAGATCCTGCAACACGTTTGTAGTAAATAATTTTAGTCACACTAGTGTAATAAGTATAAGAGCTGATAGGAACAGACTGATCTTTTAGAATAGGGAGGTATTTTTGATTGAATTGATTTATGATGAAGGGTGTTGCCTAAATTGATGAGATCGAGACCTTTTTCGACAAAGGAAAGTTTTAGACAAGATTGGTTCTCCGTTACATTTTTTCCAATGCAGTTGGCCTGATAGTCTGTGATGGGAAATAAACGAGATGATGGCTGCATATATAACTTGCAAAATCTTCGGTCTGAGGATTCATCTACAAATTGACAGTGATTGATGGTAAAAAAAACTGTTTCAATAAAAAAAAAATGAACAAATTTTCCCATTTAGATTTTTCATTTTTAATATTTGAATGTTTGATTTTATTTTACACCAGTTATAAGTATCTGACCCTATACTCACTAGGAACTAAATCTAAATAGTCTAGTTTGATACAAGATTACATCATAGCGAGTCTATCTAATAATTGTAAGTTAAACAAAATCTATGTCATATTACATAAATCATATGCGTAATAGAAAATAAATTTCTACAAAATCTTGTAATAAGTAAAAATATGATTGATGAATTTATTGTTTCTTGGACTTCTAAGGCAAACGCTAAGATCCGTCACTACATCAATACTATACTTGGTAATGTATACAATTCCATGTATCCAGCGTAGGTGGATGTGTGTCACATGACTCATTTCGTGGCTGATTTAACATGTTTTATTACGTCCATCGCAGTGATCCTGTATACGAGCTGTAGACGGTATAACATCTTGGATGTAATCTGCAATAAATATTGCAAAGTATTCACATGGATAATTCAGAATGTTAAAGTATGCTTTAAAAGTAATTGGTTCTGAATTCCACTCTCAATGAAATCTTCAAGTCGAACACTTAGACACAAACAAAAGAAACATATCTGCTATAAGTATATTTAAAGGAAGCAAAGGTGGTCATACCAGGAATGTTCTCAGCTAAAAATGCATTTATTTTTGTCAGAAAAATGAACCCGCCTTTGATCATTTAACTTACAAAACCGGACGGACATGACGATCTCTATATACGCAGACTCTGACGAATGGGGACAAAAATCGTACTTAACCTGCCATTAGTGGTCCAAAATATTTCATTAAAGGGGCATTAGCTACGAGATATAAAAAAAATGAATATGATTTTTTTTTTGTTCAATCATTAATGAAAGTGAAATAATATTGATTCGCTTTTAACAGCCAGTTTAGTTCTATTTTGTCAAAATAAGCTGAAAAACATTGTTGATGATTTATTCACTTGCAAGTGAATAATTCGACCTCAATGAATCCGTTTTCATGTGACCTTCAAATTAACCCATTAGCTAGAGATTGGTTACGTATGTTTTAGTCGTGTTCAACCATTGAAAGGAAAAGAATGTCAACATTGAAAGTGAAACACAGGTGAACCATTTCGTTGACTGATTCGATCCACAAAAAATCATTCTTATACAGGTAAAATCGATGATTAACTTATTTTTTTAACATATAACATGAAATCAAACAGACCTAGAAAAGTCCAATTGCACGATCGAGGTCGCTATCTATTTATATTTATTTTTATGTTAATATCGGGTTATGTGACCGTCGGCAGTCTTCGGAGGTCTTCTCGATAGATAGTTAATTACATGGCGTCTAGACTAAAATACACATGAAATGCTGATATATATTATCGAATCCATGCATTGTTAATTGTTTATTTCAGTCTTATTGTAATTTGGATATAGTTACATTTTAGTATGTTATAAATCAAATATGAGAATTTGAGTCAAATCGGTGAACATGAATTTGACAGCTTATGCCCCTTTAAAATTTCAATTAACTTTAAAAAGCGGTACTCTATTTATCATCTTAAAATATTTTTATCAAAGCCGATACTTACTTAACGTAAAGGTTTGGTGTTTTTATATTATAAATTTCACCATCAATATTATATCGAAGATTTTGCTCTTGTTCAGATGGATTATTGTCCTCTGTGACTTCAAGGTTAAAAGCTGTGACCTTGTTGTGGGTAATAAAACTAACGCTGTCAAGCTGTTCAAATAAAAAAAAAAAAATCTGAACAAATACCGAATGTAACAGTTTGATTTGTATAATTATTGAATTTTTAAAAATTGATTATAGTACCACGTGAATGTCTCATAGTCCAACGGCGTAGCTTATACATGTAGGTAAGCGTGTATGCATGAATTCTGGCGATCCAAATCGGCGGAATTTAACTCAACGATAAATGATCATCAGTTACATTGAACCGCATATTTTTATAATAAGCATCAGCTTGCCACCCCAATTTATGTCTCACTTCGCTCCTAAATGCAAACATACAATTAAAGTAGCACATCCCAAAACATCTTTACCAATGATAAATCTATTTTGCCATTTAAGATAGACTAAAGTATTTTGTTTAAAAACTACTAGTATTAAAGATAATTCACTACTTTCAAATTACTTTTTTTTTATTCGAAAATCAGAACTTGTGTATAATGGAGAAAATCGTATATGGTGTACCAATTCATGACACAAAATCGCTACAGGCACATGAAAAATCACTCTTTGAGGTAAATCGCTCTTGCATCGATTTTTTTTATCACTATAGAAGAAGAATTGATGAACGAAAAGAAAGAACTATATTCTTGTTACTTACATGTTCTTTGGTCAAATGTACCAGATTATAGAAATGTTTTATCAAATCAAAGCGTGAACATGGTGTATAGTCAAGTAAATCAAACTGGTCTTTCTTCTCTGGCTGTTCATCTTTAGGATAATCTTCAAAGTCTAGGTCATAGGTCAATGCCATTAAATTAATTAATCGTTTCTTTTGTTTAACTGAAGAAAAAAAAAATTAAGTTTGAACAAGTACATCGTACTTAATATCAGAGAGTTAGTTTGTCTATGGTGTTACAATATGTATAAACTCTCCGTCATTAAGGAAGACAGTTGACAGTATAAACACTCCGTCATTAAGGAAGACAGTTGACAGTATAAACACTCCGTCATTAAGGAAGACAGTTGACAGTGTCTTCGTCACATTGAAATCCCAGATCTTTGCGCATGGCTAGTGTGAATACGGAATAATTAATTTTGATCTTTGCTCAAAGCTAATTGAGATGTAATTTAAAAAAAAAACAAAATATCTACATTATTATATGACTATAAATTTTCTGTTTTCTCATTGGCTAAAAGCATACAAAATCCTCTTTTATAAAACATTATATTCACCACGGTAAAAATCACGAGAGGTTAATATAGATTTGAAACAGCGTCCGTGTACCAAAATATAGATATTCCAAGGCAACGTCAATGGCGTAGGTTTATGACTTCAAGTAAATTCCCGTTTTTTCTTGTTCTTCCTGTTTTCGGCGTATTTTTTCTCTTCTTATTGTTTTTGTTGTATTTTTTAGTAAACTTTATTGTAATGAATATTTCAACTTTAGCAAAATAAGCAACTGCAAAAGCAGATATATTTAGTATAAAAACAGGGCCTGAGTTTTAAAAGTATCTTGAGCAAATACTAGAAAATTGGAGAAGGATAATAAGTCATATAAAAAAAACAATTATTGACTTTTGATTTCAGTTGATACAATGTTTATCATTGTATCAACCTCATCAAAAGTCAATAATTGTATAATGTACAAGTTGTAGTGATAAAAACCTGTAGGCTTCTGTCAGCTGTACAATTACCGAGGTTAACAGTGGTTTATAAACAGACCCAACCATTTTTTTACTTTCAATATTTACTACCTGACAGATTATTTTAAAATAGTGAAGATTATACTGTCACAGATCAGCGTAAAAGAGGGACGAAAGATACCAGAGGGACAGTCAAACTCATAGATCGAAAACAAAATGACAACGCCATGGCCAAAAATAAAAAGACAAACAGACAAATAATAGTACAGATGACACAACATAGAAAACCAAAGACTAAGCAACACGAACCCCACCAAAAACTGGGGGTGATCGCAGGTGCTCCGGAAGGGTAAGCAGATCCTGCTCCACATGTGGCACCCGTCGTGTTGCTTATGTTATTACAAATCCGGTAAATAGTCTAATTCGGTAAGTCACATTCGTGAAAAGGGAGGGTATTGTAGTTACGACATAAGGAACATATCCGATATCATCTGTGAAACGGTTATTCCATAACGGTCAACCAACTCGTGATGGCGTCCGTAAAATTTACGAAGGGATGACTTCAACTTCACCATTTGGAACTCTTGGTTTAATAGCTTCCTTGTGAGCAGCAATCCTCTATCAAGGAAATCATGATAGGAAACACAAGCCCGGGAATATCGTATCAATTGGGAGATATATACTTCGTATGCAGGCGCTGCTGGAATGTTGCTACATAGAAATGGAAAGTTCACAATTGGGAAGCTGAAATCATCTCTTTTGTCGTAAAGTTTTGTTTTCAACCGACCCTCATTGTCAATTTCTAGATGTAAGTCAAGATATGAGGCAGACTTAACTGTATCTGTAGTATCCTTTATCTCTAGTTCGATGGGATAGATTCGTTCAACATAGTCACCAAATTTTGTTTTATTTAGTGAAAGTTGTGTAGATCATACTGTCACAGATCAGTGTAAAGTTGTGTAGATCATACTGTCACAGATCAGTGTAAAGTTGTGTAGATCATATTGTCACAAATCATTGTAAAGTTGTGTAGATCATACTGTCACAAATCAGTATAAAATTGTGTAGATCATACTGTCACAGATCAGTATAAAATTGTGTAGATTATACTGTCACAGATCAGTGAAGATTATACTGTCACAGATCAGTGTAGATTATACTGTCACAGATCAGTATAAAATTGTGTAGATTATACTGTCACAGATCAGTGAAGATTATACTGTCACAGATCAGTGTAGATTATACTGTCACAGATCAGTATAAAATTGTGTAGATCATTCTATCACAGATCAGTATAAAATTGTGTAGATTATACTGTCACAGATCAGTGTAGATTATACTGTCACGGATCAGTGAAGATTATACTGTCACAGATCAGTGTAGATTATACTGTCACAGATCAGTATAAAATTGTGTAGATCATTCTATCACAGATCAGTATAAAATTGTGTAGATTATACTGTCACAGATCAGTGTAGATTATACTGTCACAGATCAGTATAAAATTGTGTAGATCATACTTTCATAGATCAGTATGCAATTGTGTAGATCATACTGTCACAGATCAGTATAAAATTGTGTAGATCATACTGTCACAGATCAGTATAAAACTCTGTAGATTATACTGTCACAGATCAGTATAAAATTGTGTAGATCATACTGTCACAGAGCATTAAAAAATCATTAAGCCGGTAGAACATTGAAAACTTAATCACTGAATTGAAAGAGAGGTCTTTAATTGAAACTTCCTTCCGATAACATTTACACATACATGTATCATAAAATTGAGAATGGAAATGGGGAATATGTCAAAGAGACAACAACCCGACCAAAGAGCAGAAAACAGCCCAAGGCCACAATGGGTCTTCACAGCGAGAAAATTCCGCACCCGCAGGCGGGCTTCAACTGGCCCATAAAAAAATTCATACATGTAATTTTGTTTAGCAATTTTACCTACCGGAAACTATATTATGACAAACGTAGAGTTTACATGTAAAATACATTAACATGATTAAGTTAGAATTGAAAAAAAACACCATTTATCCATCACTCGATAATACTTTTACCTTGACAGTCTGCTTTTAAATGATGCAGTATTCCATCTCTACAAAATGAGAAAGTAATTTAGCTGTTACAGTGACAGACTCTAAACATTTAAACAATAAAACCATTCACAATGAATATTTACTACTGTACCATTTCTTGTTTGCAAATCGAATATTTCACTTATTTTTTGGTTTCTTTGGTTAAACTCAAGCATATATATTCGATAATAGAAAACAAATAAACATATTAAAACATTGTAACAAGATTTTGCGTTCAGCATCTGCGACAAATCTTTGGTTTACATGTAAAAGTATTTTAACATTTTTTTTTGGTATTCTTAAATATGATTTATTAAATGCTTCTTCTACTTTGAATTTTTGGAGGTATTTTTTATTTGTATATTTCGTTCTACCAATGACCGACATGAAAAAAAGATATACGATTGAGTATGAAACAATTAGTTAAAAGTCGACACCACCATGGCCAAAATGTTAACCCCAAAACTACTCAGAAAACTAAATATTTTACAACACAAACAACAATAAAATTCGGGACGAACGAAGGTCCTTCGTGGGGGTAAGTTGTGTATGCATCATTAAGGACACATGTTTTTCCTTCATAATGCTACGGCATGTGGCACATATCCGTGGTCATCTGTGCTTTGTGATAAATCGCATTTGCTGATAGTCCTTTACGAGGAAAAGATGACGGTATTGTTGTAATGGTTACGATTCAATGGAGTATATGCGTGGTCATCTGTGACACACATTTCCGTGCCCATAAAATTTGTAAACTAATGAAATTATTAAAGATTTTGCGGAGCAATGCCTTTGATTGACAACAAATAACCAATGTTTCAGTAGCCTCGTTGCAAATAGCAAAGAATAGACACGCAAGCTATTATAGATTGTTGTTTTGAACTCGGATATATCTACTCCTTGTGCTTGAAAGTTCTCAATTATAAAATTGTGAAAAGAAACCACATACAGAAAAATCATAAACATAAAATAAGAAATTGTGTGTACAGATGATTTCAATACAGAATAATAAGTGAATGAGGTTTACGGCTTACTTTTTTATTATGAATTGATCATGTATTTTGTGACCAGCACATGAAAACTTGCATCAACCTGGTATTGGAATCATATTGTATCCCATACATGAGACTCAATTTGCAAATTAATGTTATTTTCTCAATATCATGACAATTTTCTTTTGTTTCTAACTTACAAAAAATCATATTTGATGTCTACATTGATCTCTCTCAGGCGCTTTAGAAACATGTAGTAGAAAGGAACGGCTGTAATAAAGTATACTATGATTACAATGTCATCTAGGAGAACGGCTGTAAATAAGGTATTATATATAGTATGATTACAGTGTCATCTAGGAGAACGGCTGTAAATAAAGTATACTATGATTACAATGTCATCTAGGAGAACGGCTGTAAATAAAGTATACTATGATTACAATGTCATCTAGGAGAACGGCTGTAAATAAGGTATAGTATGATTACAGTGTCATCTAGGAAAACGGCTGTAAATAAAGTATACTATGATTACAGTGTCATCTAGGAGAACGGCTGTAAATAAGGTATAGTATGATTACAATGTCATCTAGGAGAACGGCTGTAAATAAAGTATAGTATGATTACAGTGTCATCTAGGAGAACGGCTGTAAATAAAGTATAATATTACAGTGTCATCTAGGAGAATGGCTGTAAATATAGTATAATATGATTACAGTGGCATCTAGGAGAACGGTTGTAAATAAAGTATACTATGATTACAGTGTCATCTAGGAGAACGGCTGTAAATAAAGTATAGTATGATTACCTTGTCATCTAGGAGAACGGCTGTAAATAAAGTATAATATGATTACAATGTCATCTAGGAGAACGGCTGTAAATAAAGTATAATACGATTATAGTGTCATCTACGAGAACGGCTGTAAATAAAGTATACTATGATTACAGTGTCATCTAGGAGAACGGCTGTAAATAAGGTATAGTATGATTAAAATGTCATCTAGGAGAACGGCTGTAAATAAAGTATTATATATAGTATGATTACAGTGTCATTTAGGAGAACGGCTGTAAATAAAGTATACTATGATTACAATGTCATCTAGGGGAACGGCTGTAAATAAAGTATACTATGATTACAATGTCATCTAGGAGAACGGCTGTAAATAAGGTATAGTATGATTACAGTGTCATCTAGGAAAACGGCTGTAAATAAAGTATACTATGATTACAGTGTCATCTAGGAGAACGGCTGTAAATAAGGTATAGTATGATTACAATGTCATCTAGGGGAACGGCTGTAAATAAAGTATACTATGATTACAATGTCATCTAGGAGAACGGCTGTAAATAAAGTATAGTATGATTACAGTGTCATCTAGGAGAACGGCTGTAAATAAAGTATACTATGATTACAATGTCATCTAGGAAAACGGCTGTAAATAAGGTATAGTATGATTACAGTGTCATCTAGAACGGCTGTAAATAAAGTATAATATTAATATGATTACAATGTCATCTAGGAGAACGGTTGTAAAATAAAGTATAGTATGATTACAGTGTCATCTAGGAAAACGGCTGTAAATAAAGTATACTATGATTACAATGTCATCTAGGAGAACGGCTGTAAATAAAGTATAGTATGATTACAGTGTCATCTAGGAGAACGGCTGTAAATAAAGTATAATATTACAGTGTCATCTAGGAGAATGGCTGTAAATAAAGTATAATATGATTACAGTGGCATCTAGGAGAACGGTTGTAAATAAAGTATACTATGATTACAGTGTCATCTAGGAGAACGGCTGTAAATAAAGTATAGTATGATTACAGTGTCATCTAGGAGAACGGCTGTAAATAAAGTATAATATGATTACAATGTCATCTAGGAGAACGGCTGTAAATAAAGTATCATATGATTACAATGTCATCTAGGAGAACTGTTTTGATGGAATTGTCATTCGGTCAACATATCTTTTTTTTAAATTTGGATGCGAAGAACTTTTCATATTAAATCATCATCTTGCCAAATTTTGCAAAGGCAACTCGATTTATAAATTTCATTCGTACAGCATAAATGTGTTAATCATTTCAAACTTATGATTGTTTGAGGGTTATATGTCTTTTTTGGAAAAGAGGCAGGGAGTGCTTAATTGGAGTAAAATGTTAACCAATTCATACTGAGGTATGACTAATACGGGTTTGTTTACATATTTTGCGTCAATACTGTTAAAAAGTTGGTTGTAGTTCAGAACAATTTGATTAATTGTTGTTAATTGTTTGCATTAAATGTATTATCAGTTGTTTGTGTACATTAATGGATAAGTACTATATAACAATTAGTAGTGTGCATCAACCAGGATGAGGACTCAAGACAAAAACGATACGTGTTTTCAAAATAATTAGTTTCTTGTGAACTTTCTAAAGAGTTGCTGCCAATTGTTTTCATACAGTGTGGCGCTTAATGCATTATGTAGTCCAAGAGTTATCGTTGCAAAAGAACGTCAGACTGAACCTCTTCAGTACAAGTTTGACAGACGAACAGGCGAACAGTTGAAGTTAGTAATCATATTTCTTGCCCTACTCACCTTTTGTTAAGTAATTAAGAAACCTGTTCTAATATAAAGAAGGAACAATTAAAATGTAAGCCCCAAAAATATATTAAATATCAATTATACGCATTTTTACACAAAACGAATTTACAGTAAGAACTTGTGTTCACATTAGAATCTGCATCATTAGTTCATTTTAGTTAACAATCGGCTCACACTATAAACAAATAAAAAGCATTGCTTCAAACCTATGATCCTAAATATTTTCATCCAACGAAACCTGTGTACGTCATCAGCCAAGTCCACAAATAATCCGTATGCAGCTATAAATACCCCATAACCAATCAGATCTCCGTCGTTATAATTCCCAGTAACATTACAGCATTTTTTCCTACCTACAAAAATGTATTTCGTTTGAGCGTTTACTTGACTTTTTTATTACTTTGTATTTCATGCAGATTTTCAAAATGAACACTGCTTTATGCAGATGTTCATTATACATTAGAATAATACATGAATATCAACACTTTTCCATCCTGCGTTCGGGGACGAACTTGGAGAATGGTATCTTCTTAGCATGTCCGGGAATCCGTAGAAATTACCATTGCAAAGCAAAGTTTCTAATTGTTCTCAATATGAAAAAATGTCAAGTCGCAATTAAAAACTTCCTGCCAATTCTCACGGTCTAACTACTTTTTAGAACTTACTTTTATTCATATCTATTTTCAAATTATCGTATCATTGGTGATCGTCCTCTAGTATGAATTTTCCGCTTAAGATTAATTAAATAGCATTTATATAGTATAATATGTTGTTTGATGTAAAACACTAATTACACAACGGATTGGAGAACGATTGATGTACCAATCGTAAAATGTTAAGAATTTATTGTTGTTTATCATCTTGTCAGTTGCCTTAATATATTCAATGATGAAACAAAAAGCTTAGATCTTAAAGTAAAGTCAAGACGGTCTCCAGTGTCGACTTCAGTGGTTCTCTTTAATATTACGTTAGTAACCGCTTCATGTGTTGTACACTGCATTACATCTTTCTCTTCTTCCGTCTTTTCAAACTTTTGTTACATATCACGCAGCACTTTCTCATGTTTTTTCTTTCTTTGTTTTTTTTTTTAGCTTAGTTATATTGATTCAACATTGTAAGCGATTTTCAGACCTACCATGCAACAACTTTCTGTAAATCGATAGTTTTAATCTTTACCTTTTCACTAATTTTTATAAGAACATGCCTGTGATTTCAATTGTTATTGCATGAATTCCAAAGAAAACGAAGATTACAGTATAAATTTGATATGGACCTTAATAATGATAAATTGTATAGATAGTTTTAAATCAGCAGTGGATGCTTACATCCCCAAAACATGAACTATTTGTTTGAGTTCACTCCTAACCTTGATTATGGAATTAGTCTTATATTTGCCAGATGACAATGTGTTTTAAATTGGTAATTACGTATCAGACTTTATTAGATATACTTTTCATATGAGTAAACGTCATTAAGGGCATACGATACAGTTTTGATCCCACTGTGATTTATTTACGAAAAATTGCATACAAGCTATATTTCACCTAGTCAATTCAAATATGTAATAAAAAATACACCTTCATGTGCTACTTTAAGAGATAAATGGGGGTCGAAATTTTAGACATTTATTCAAAATTTCGGGTTTTTTGACATTTCTATACTTTGGATAGACATTCCTAACTTTTTTGTTTCAAAAGATAAACAATAGCGGATTTTTGTAAAAACAATTGGAAAATCTTCTTTACATAAGTATGCTCTAAATTTGTATAACAATTCAATGGAAATAATTAATATTTATCAAAGTTTCATGATTTTAGAAAAAAAAACGGCATTTTTTGCTGTATATTTATCTTATTTAATAAAAATTCATTGGTGACTTTTTTCATAAAAATTGGTACAAATAATCTTCATACGTAATCAAACCTAATGTCCTTTTAAAAAAGAGGGGTCCATGAACTCGTTTTCTAGTTAAATCAGTCGAAAAATGCATCTTTTCCCGTTATGTCACAGTTTGACGTCGCGAAAATAACATTTTACATTAATCAACGTTTGACAATTTATAATTTCAACAGATATACCCGTCGTTTGGGAAATGCGAGTCATGGCAAAATGAATACATATTCCTAATTAGTTCTGTGTTAAGTAACAACGTTTACGGATACTTTGTGAATAAAGTTCCTGGGACGATAAAATGTCAATGTTATGCCAATTTTATTAACCGTTTACCGAAATAGCACCCCCGATTCGGATGTATAATGTGCAAGATTTCAAAAAAACATTCTGCAGGAAGAAATGTCACCCTAGCCACAAACACTGTTCAGACTCTGAGCCAATTGCTATTTCCGTGTACTCCTAAATGGTGCGTGCTTGGTGGAGACGCAGCAAAAGAGAGGCGAAAGATACTAAAGGGACATTCAATTTCACAAGTCGAAAACAAACTGACAATGCCATGGCAATAAAACGAGAAAAACAACAAACAATAGTCATCAACATACCTTTGACAATTTGTAATGTAGATGTCATTACATCTTTACATCCATGAAGAATGCCAACCAAACCGTTACCTGTGCCTGAAATATAAGAATGAAGTTCATTTTAATATGAAAATGATTAAATGTAAAATGTAATTAATAAGCTTTCTAAACTGGATATATGATGCTAAAAGGACTTTATCACATAAATTCGAAAGAGATTCATTTGTATAACTGTAACATATTTTTCAGTCTGATTTGTAATAAAACAAAAATTGTTAAATAAGTGAATCTGTATTTTCCTTGAAATATGAATTACAATAAATGATAACAAAGTAATCATACTATAATTGTTTTAATAATAAACGTATGATAATATTAGGAGTCGTAGGTGATCTATTGCAAGGCAATTAAAAATCTAGGGATGTGTAAATACTTGTCGTAGCTTTATGACCAAAACCAGGACTAAAATGGTCAACTTTGCATGAGGTCGTTTCAACTTTAGTTTATATGAAAAAAAATTATAGACGAAAAATGTATGAAATGTATATTAGAAATACTGTCTGTGGAGAAGCACTAACTATTTGGCTATAATAGTACCAGTAAGGACTAACAGCGGTAACGACCCAGTGCTAGTAAATTAGATTAAAAACTATATAAAATTGAGAAATATATTTAGCTGTATGATTCCGGGGCGCCCGTAGCGCTTTTTAAGACTTCGCCTCCATCAGGACCGCTAAACACCAAAGCTATGAAAGCCAAGGGTGAATAAATTATCAAAAGCTTAAACATACGGATTAGTCTTGTGGCAGTCAAGGCGTCCCATCCCTTTTCGTCTGACCGACCTACTTATCGGAACTAAACTAACTTATAACTAATTGAATTTGTTCTGCTTCATATGCCTTGAAAATACTTCCCAATCGACATTATTAATAAGCAGACAACACATACTTTATCCGAATGTAATTAACATTAAATGTGGAATATTTTTACCTGCAGGTATTATGCCAATAGGCAATTCCATCTTTTCTAATGTGGTGTTATGGTCATTTAAATCTACACCAGCATCGCTCTGGGTTTTCCTCATTAAAGCATTGAATATTTCCGATACAGTGCCATCTCCGCCAAGTATGACTAACCTGTTCAATTAATATTAATATAACATTAAATGTATGGTATATGAAAAACTCCTCGTTAAGGTCTTGTGATACACTTTCAAGATTTTGTCCCTTTTATTGAGTAATACAATTCAAAATAACATCCTTAAAGTCTAACATAATCATCGAAAACAGCATGACCTTACCCATCAACAGATTTGAAATCGTATGTTTCTGCAAACTCTTTTCCATGTCCAGATTTTTCAGACACTACAAAAGAAAAAAACGGTGTTGAAAAGCAACAGCATATATATGAGGGTGTGGATGAGGGTTTACAGAATAGAGAATTATGGACAAAAAATATAAAGAATAGATAAAAATGGGCCAAAAACTAAAGAATAGAGAATAATGAGGTGCTAAAATATAAAGAGTAGACAATAATGGGTAAAAAGTATAAAGAATAGAGAAAAATGGCCTAAAAATTTAAAGAATACAGAAATGAAAGACCCTCCCCCAATCCAGACCCTCAGAGATGTTGTATGATTGCCAAGGTACCAATCTCACCTGTAACATCTACCTCTATCCCTGCTAGTGTGAAAATGGGCACCACTATTTCATCACATATCTGTTTACCTCTTCTTTGCCCGCCAATAGGGTTAACAAACACGGCTAATTTCCTTGGCCTCGCAGTTGCTGAAAAAAAATCAAGTACAGTGTCTAACTTAATTTTTAGCCAAGAATAACAAAAGATTTTACAGCACATGTTAAATCAGAATCCTGTTGTGTATGGCCCATCTGGTTTTACATGTAAATATCTCTTAACAGATTTATTGGAGCCGTGACTATTTGCTGTGCCTTTATAGGCTAATATCTAAACATTGACTTGGATGGAGAGTTGTCTCATTGGCACTCATACCACATCTTATTATATCTATGAACAGTTAAGTGACTATTACGCCTCTCAAACCAGGTTATCTTTGCGGGACATACAGTAACTGTTCCTTTTCGTACGAATGACACATTTTTATTAAATATCATAACTTTCAAATTAAAATGATAAATTTCGTGCGTCACAAGCGCTTTTCTGGACTTATCCTTATAAATGCTCGAGAACAAAAGTTTATAAAGTAAAAAAGTAAAAGATTTTGGAAAAAAAACCCAAAAAACTAATCACAGATTGCAAAAAATAATATATTTTTTATAGTTTCATATACATATAAGATGGACTGGATTAATCGGTTGATTCATAATTTAAGGGAAACTACTATAGTAAGACATCTGACAGTTTCGATGTAAATAGTAAATAGTAAATAGGTAGATCTCAGTGGCGGATCCAGAAATTTTCATAAGAGGGGGCCCACTGACTGCCTAAGAGGGGCCCACTTAAGTCATGCTTCAGTGATTCCCTATATATAATCAACCAAATTTTTCCCACAAAAGGGGGGGCCCGGGCCCCTCCCCCCCCCCCCCCCCCCCTAAATCCGCCTCTGGATCTCAACTTTATAGACATGTCTTCCCCTGTCAGATTTTCTCATAGCGGTTTTCAAGATATATAATAGGCAAAACTTCCATTTTACCCCTATATTCTATTTTAATCAGTGCCATGTCGGTTGGCACGCGGGGTCATGGAATTCATTTCAAACTCGATACCATAATGATGATTATGGCCAAGTTTCATTAAATTTGGCCTGGAAGTTTCAAAGGAGAAGATTTTTGTAAAAGTTAACGGACGATGGACGCCAAGTGGTGAGAAAAGCTCATTTGGTCTTTTGTGCAAGTAGAGCTAAAAACTAATCACAGATTGCAAAATGTAACATATCTTTTACAGTTACATATACATACATACATAACTGATGGGCTGGATTACTCGGCTGATTTATTGATTCGTCTATTTGATAAACGTCCAGTAACAAGTAGTTTATGCAATAAAACATAAAACGAAGGTAGAATCTGCAAAGTGGGTCAATCAAGATAAATGTTGGGAAATTTAGACCGACAATGCCATGACAAGCATTACGTTGGATTGGATAGGAAATGAACTGCAACAGTGCAACGGGCTTTCCACGACCACTCCGAAGAGTTGTTGTAAGGGTTCTCTCACATGCAGAGATGGTGGCTCTCTCCCTTCACGAGGCATCTGATTTTACTTCTCCATTCGCACCATTCGTAAAACATGTATTTCTAATATAACAGGACCAAATGTTTTGAAAGTAAACACGAAAGTCCTAATATAAAATAAAATAATATAATTTGCTGGTTTTAGGACAATGCCCCAATAAACGAACTAGAAACGCATAGACAAAATCAAAGAGTTGTTGTAAGGGTTCTCGCAGAGAGCGTGACTCTCTTCCTTTATGAGACATCTGATTTTACTTCTCCGTTCGCACCATTCGTACAACATGTATTTCTAAACTAACAGGACCAATTTTTTTGAAAGCAAACAAGAAAGTCAAAATGAATCTGTTAATTCGTGCCATCACTGTATTGAGCGAGTTATACTGTGACCCTCATGGACTGACAGTCCACCAGCAGCGGTATCGACCTAGTGGCAGGATGACTGTATAATGACATGTATTTCTGAAATAGCAATCGATTCATCAATTTATTAAGAAAAGGGGTCCTCTTACTAGCAAACAAGAATAAATTTAGCATAAATAAGCGTACTATACCTATTTTAATGTTTTCTAATATGGTTTTTTGAAGCTGTACATATGTGCCCTCATCTGCATCAAATTCGACATATTCTTTGGTTAATCTATGATTAGGGAATGGATGATCTTGTATGTAATAAAGTCTTGATGTTCTCCTGTCACCACTAGCGTTCTCTATAGTTAAGATGTTTTCGTAGGTTATTTGTCCTAAATATTAACATAAATAATGAATTAGGAACCGAATTTTAATGTTTTTATGGGGGAGCATGGTTATTTTTTAATCAATCTGTTTGATTCTTAATTTCTTTCAGTAGGGGAAGAGAAAAAGAAAGTTTCAATGGTTCCAATTCCTTTGAAATTAAAGATAGAATAATATAACATTGAGTAAAATTATTCTTGCTCCAGTGTTTGTGAATGACAACTATTTGTGATTTATACAGAAAAGTCAGCATGGTCAGGGAGGTTTTTTAAACTGAAGGGAAGACTGTATTTTAATAGCTATACCTATATAGATATGATATACTTTGCATTAGTTTACTATAGAATATTATTATAACATTTATACTGATAGCAAAAACTAAAAGAATTTTTGAAACAGATCGCCATTTAAGATACATTATATATGTATAATATATCTTGATTTAAAATAAATTATGAAACCGACAGGAAAATGTAGAAATTAAATAAGGGGAGGTAAATCTTTTGTTTATACGACACCATTTGTACACAATTATTTTGGAACACGGATATATCATGCACGTTAGCCTTGCAAGAAGAAGTGAGATATTAAATAATTAATAACTAACTTTGTGTTTCCTTCTCATTAAATGCAATGTGTTCATCCTCAATTGTCAAAATTGACGCATTGTTAGAAATGATGACACTGAAGTTCATCTCTTTGTTGACATTAACGGATAATAACCTTTCTACACTAAGATAGATAACTCAATTTTCAATACGATTTTTTTTATCTTCTATTCAGAATTGACTATTTTTGTCATTGGAAATTAAAAAAGGATTGGTATTCCTTGGAATTATTCTGCAGCCTCTGAAACTCAAAAATAAAAAGATTTTTTCTAGGTTGCATCAATATCGTTTTCTACACATGAATTGATTGATTGGTTAATTGTCCTTTTCTTTAAGTCCACTGTAATACAGAAATAATTCCTGCATGATCCTGCACCAAACTGAGTCCTAAAATATCACAATATAAGACTTCGTAGGTCCATATCGTTTGCATTCAACGTTTTTTACCGGATTTTTTTTATTATCAATGCTGAGGTCCATAACGTTGAATGCAAACACGTCTTATATTATAGGGCTAATTTCATGCATATGCAAGACGAGAACAAGTTGGATAATCAAAATATGCTAGTAGGTTCTGCAGTTTAGACTGACGGAGGTAAAGGGTGGGAACTTTTATAGACCTTATCGCTATTTGGAAATCTGCGATACTTTGACCCGAGAATTTGCGACACTTGAACTATTGACGTCATACAACAATCACATTAATTTTGTGGCTTCAGCAATGGTCTCTTGTGACGTCAACACTTATGGGAACGTCCGTGATCTCCTGTAATGGCGGACAAATAACGATAAGGTGTAGATCTCTGTCAATAAACAATTTCGACTCACTGCAGGCCACGTACGAACCGCTTACAGCCAACAGAGTTGTTGCAAGAGTATTGTAACGTGCATATCATCATCGGTGTCTTACTACACAAGATGGAGGCTTTGTGAATACGCTCCCTGCACAGTGAAAATAAACGAACGTCCCACTTTTACATTGTGTTATATTTTAAATTTCAACATTTTAAAAATCTTGACCTTATCTTGTAGAAGCAGTTGCTGAATTTATTGTATATATATACAGTATTTAAAAATGAAATCGCGGAAATAATTTGGTCATTGTAAATTGTATCTGTTTACAAATATCCGTGCATTAGATCTTTGCATATTGTTTTTATTGGTGTAGATATTGATTTTGTTATCAGTGAATTAAAACCATACTAAATGTCATTGTTATACATATATATGCACTACAATCTGTCGATACCTATATTTTTGCATTGCACAAGGTCATGTTTTTCTCTGACTGTTAATCACTTAATCCATTGGATGTTGGATGTGTACTGAGTGATATTTTGGTCTTGGTGCATGATTCTTTTATTAGTTGTTATTGGCTTTGAACTAGCTGTCAGTAACTGCGACTGCTCTCAGATCTGTACATTTTTGTTTTCAGGGATATATAAATACCCTCCCACGTCCGGTCTGTGTTTTTGTTAGATGTTTTTCTGCTTGTATCGTTCTGATGAATTAAGCCCTTTCAACTGAATTTTATAGTTTGTTCTCATGTTGTACTGTTACACCTCTTTCCCAGGTTAGGGGGTTAGCGCCTTCAAAGATATTTAACCCTGCCACATCCTTAATGTGCATCTCCTAAATCATGCGCCTGTAGTTTAGTGGTTGCCGTTGGTTCATGTCTGTCATATCTATTTGTCGTAAGTTGTTTTGTTATAAATTAGGCCGGTAGTTTTCACAATTATATTGTTTCATATTTGTCATGTCGGATCCTTTTATAACCGACTATACGGTATGAGTTTTTCTCATTGTTGAAGGCCGTACGGTTGCCTATAATTGCTTACATCCACTTCATTGAATTTTGGTGGCTAGTTGTGTCATTGGCAGTCATACAACATCACCTTTTTTTACGTTCATAGGAAAAGACAGAAACTGTCAGGATACCATTGACCGCAGAAAAAACATTTTTTCTTGGATATATTAGTGACATTAAATGTATCACAAGAATTGTGGTTTCATGTTAATCCACGCAATTTGATTTTAACTTAAAATGTGTATATTTTTCATACTTAGTCTATTTGTTATCATTATAATTCATTATAATTTATTAATTTGGTAAATATGAGCGCAAATACTAATTGATGTTAAGCGTTAGCCATTTCCCGTCGTAACTTAAAGTATTAAAAGATGTGTGGGTGTGCCTATAACAGATATATTTGTGTATATTTGCAGACGTGAACCACAAACTATCTTGATTTTTTTTTTAATTAACTCGTAGAAATTAAAAGTGGGAATTCAGTTAAGATCTAAGAAAACAATATAAAAATAAGGAGATGTGGAATGATTGCCAATTGTTATCTATATACATGTACCTAACAAGTTTATCACCGCCATATGTGTATCTGCACATCCTAGTGACCTCTTCAGTAGGTTTTTTTCAGTTAATTTTTCAACTTTTCAGTTTTTTCTGTTCTATTCTGTTTTAATTTTGTTTTGGATTTTTCTTCTGTTGCTTGTTATATAGCAATATTTTTGTCATTTAGGAAATTTAGCATTAAGGATGCATTCTTCTGACGTTTCGGTCTCGTTGAAATCTCGTTCTGGAATTATTTCCAAAACATGTGATACAAGTGGAAAATATCAATGATTTTTAAAAAATATTTTAATCAAACTTAACTCTGTGAAAAAATTGTGTATTCACAATAAGTAGTTTTTGAGTAATAAAATTTTATAACCAATCAAGTCAGTCTCATTAGCCAAAATGTTGAGAAAATGGGTGAGGGGTACAAGAAATGATTTTACCAGATACATGTACATCCCATATCAATTTTTTCTTTTCAAATTTCTTAGATTTGTATTTTTCAATCATTTATAACAAAGAAGTTGAAATAATATGCTTTTTGTTCTAAAAAAGAGAAAAATCCCAAATTTACAAAATTGACAACATGGTAAATTTGACACGAAAAAGCAACAAAATTTTATAAAACTTTCTTATATTAACACCTACCCGTAGTTTTTTAAGTTAAATTTATTCAGATTGGTCCACTTCATCTTTAGTGAAAGTATGAACAAAAGTTTAATTGTGAAACTGTGATTTTTTCATGTTTTTAGCCAAAAAATGGGTAAAAATTGATGAAAAATGGGAAAATCATCAAAATTGGGTACTTTCAAATGGCTGTAGCAAAAAAAGAAGTGCACCACCATATGATTTTTCTTCACTAATTATTTTTTTACAGTCATATAAACCCAAAAATCAGGTTAAGAAAAATGTTTAATTCTAGTTATTTTTGGCTCCTCAGAAGTGTACATCCTTAATAGCAAATTTCATATAATAATCTCTTTAAAATCTATTCACAACTTTTCTAGAATATGTGGTTTAGAGCTTTTATGAAGAAAAGAAAATGTGCAGTATAAATCAAACATTAACCGAACGACAAAAACAATCATCAACATACATCTATAGGGCAATATAAAAACTGCAAGAACAAACAAAGGTATGCATACAAAATGGCGAGGTCTAAATTACTCGAGTCTCTAAAAGTTTTGAATTCGAAAGTTGACTTTTTAGGGGGGAGGTGGGGTGCTTGATTATCGATGGGTTGCTATCTCGTATAATATGTTTCAAATTTTTAGTCTTGTCTATTGCAAAACAGAATTCACATTTTTCGCATACATATGTCTAGAACCTAAAAAGCCATCTATCCACCCATCCCTTATATTTAATTGAATAGACACCAAAGAAAAGTGCCAATGAAGCAGTGCATTACATGACACTGAAAATGACCACTTAAATTTGTAACTAGAAGAGTCCAGTTTATCCTGTTATTTTACAGAAAAGTACATTTAACCACAGTTTGGGGAAAAATGATATTTTGAGTACCATAATTAACTTAGTGACTTTGTTGTAATTAAAAGAAGCCAATTTATCCCCCAAGAAGATACTATGTATTTACGATGATTGTTTAAATCACAATCATTGTTATCGTTTATTATCACCGAATGAGACTGAGAATAAACCGGATGAAATCAGTATTCCCTACTTTCGTAGAAATAATACATATTACCTGTAGATGGTAAGAAATAATACATATTACCTGTAGATGGTAAGTAATAATACATATTACATGTAGATGGTAAGTAATAATACATATTACATGTAGATGGTAAGAAAGGTTACTCAATTCAAACCAAAAACGGCAATTTGTCCACCTGTATCTGCAATAGGTTTTTTTTTCGAATCCAGGTAGTGGACACTTTTGTAAGTAAAAAAAGAGTTATTATATTTTATAAGATTTATTCTTTAAAACACTGTTTGTTGCAAATAATTATTTCCTGCATCCTTCAGGAACTTCATTTCTCAAATCATGGAAGACAATCCCTGAAAACAGTTGAAGAACCGCTGTTTTATTTTTCGTTTTTTGTCTGTTTTGATGTTTTGATGTTTTGATGTTTTTCTTTCTTTTTTTTTTCTTTTATATTCAGTATGGCATAGCTATGTTCTTTAATTAACTTTCCGTATTCCAATGAAAGAGAATATACAAGGCATGTTGCAATTGAGTACTCACGAAATAAGTTAATTTATCTATATCTCCATAGTATACTAGCACCTTGTCTGTTGTTATTCCTCTTCATTTTTTTTTTCTGTTTTTTTTTTTATTGTTATGTTTTGTCCAGGTATGATGACAAAATCCTGTCAACGATTATCAAAACCCTGTGCGATTTAGTGCTTTACATATGGTATTGAAACTTGTCTGTCTTTGAGGACTCGTCTGGTTAAATCTAATTATCAGCAACAGAGGATGCTAAAATCTTTAAGGACATTTAGAGGTTCATACATTGTTTAATAGTTTCTGACTTTGTAGGAAATTTCTATCGCGCAAAAAAAAAAACCGTTGTTTCCTTAATGCAGTTGTAATCTCACCGTTAATGCAATTGAAATTGTGATATACAAATATGTATACTTGATACTCACAATTCCAAAATAAACGGAATAAATGTGCGTAAAGAGACAAAATCATGAGTTACAAATGTATCAACAAAGTAGCATGCGAAGGTTTTTTTTTTTTTTATTTCGTTTAGTGTACTTATTCAAATCATAAATCATCATCTAATATCAGCGTAATATCTGG